AAACCAAAACTCGGAACTGAAACTTTTCCGACTCCCCACTTTTTTCCTATGAAATACTGTGACAGTGTTCCTTTTTCGCTTTTCGCATAAGCTCTCCTGCTGGCAAGGCGCATTTCATCTATGCTGCTGCTGCTGCTTACTTTCTTAAGATGATGTCGTGTACTTCAATATGGAACTTATTGTATTCAAATATAATTAGGAAATATTTTGTCTGAAAAAGGATGATTTGATACACGTAAAAAAAATAAAGATTGTGATCCTTCAAGCTCATTTGTAATAAATGCGTCGTTATGCTTTTCCACTCAGCCACCTTCAAGCCACTACGGTCTTCTCAGCCATCTACGCAATATTGAAAGCTAATAGTTCCAATGCCTTCATCTACGCATTTAGAATCATTACATATGTATGTATCCATCTCCTTACTCGACTTTTATTTTCGCAATCGTTCGTCGTAGGCATAAACTTCTTACAATCACACAAAAGTTTTTTTAAATGACGAAAATATTCATGTTTTGGCAACTTCAAATTAAAAAAAATTAATGGGGAAAGTGAAGAATCACCCACTCCTTGGCGCGTTTTTAAGAATTGTACAAACTCTGTGTCCATGTTCACACCGACCTATTTTTACTACACTATCACTATCAATACAAGAAAATTGCACAATCTCGGCATTGTGCACTCCCTTGACTTTGTCCCTGTACACACTGATCTATTTTTACTTAAAAATTCAAAAGAAATTGACAAAAATCCAGTTCTTCTTACTCTTGTCAAAAGCGGCAAATAAGTGGGCGATTCTGCACTTCACACAAATTAATCTTGAACAGATAACGGCATGTAACTTTTAAAGCTGTCTCCCGGATTCTGTACTTCTGTTTGGGAAAAGTTTTATACACATTATGAAAATAAAAATATAAGAAGTCTGACTCCAGTACGATTGAAATGGACCGGAATATTTAATATGCCATATCTGTTGGTATAAACTTGTTTGACGCTGGACTAGCTGTTCTTCCAATCAGTTTTTACAAATATGCTTTGATATACCCTACAAAAGATCTTATATTAATTCCTGGTAAAGCTTAATGGTGGGTCGATACAAATGCAAATGCATATAACGAGTTGTATGTATTTGAAAATTTCAGCTGAAGGTTTGAAACAAAAGCAAGTACCTAGTTGAAGTCTCTAGAATATAGCATTTTGAAGTTATGAAGGTTTAAAATGTAGCCTGAAGTGCTACGTAAGTATAAAAAATAAAACATTGTATTTCAAAATTGAAAAAAATTCCAATAGAATTTTACCTGTAATAGTAAAGTTTAGAGTAATTAAGCAGTAAATCGTAATATATTCTTATTTTCAGCTACCCGCTTTTGTGAAGAACCTGCCAAATGTCAGGAAGACCAAAATATCAATACAAGAAGGAAATATGATAATTGTAACGAGTTAGAAGGGAAGAGGTTCATCGAGCAACATGCGAAAAAATATCTTACAATCATGTCACCAGCGCCAGTATACCGTATTTTGAAAAACGCTTTGTGGAGAAAGAAACTTATGTCTGCTAGGTTTATTACCGCTTGACGTGATTATTGCGGTCAGTCCCATGAAGAAGTCCACCCTCCTTACAACCACAAACATTTTGACATGCACAAACAGATGAGGTAAGTGATAATCTCTGCCTAGGATTACCAAGGCGTTGTTATAAAGAGTTCTAGCTGGAGAAAGTACGATTGCAGCATATTATTACCAGTGTAGCGAAAATTTTCTAGAAAAGGTGCAAAATCACTGACTTGGTTAGGGATGGTAGTGAGAGAAGCAGTTGTAACTCCATACGCCTCATCAATCATAGTCCATACAAAAGTCTATCACACCTCAAATATGTCTGTAATTTGAAACAGCCCTTGTAACTTAGTGAGGTTTTCTTCACCTGCAATAAGGTATCTTCAGAAACTGTTCAGGCCATTCGAAGACTGACCAAAAAAAAAAAAAAAAAAAAAAAAAAAAAGGGGGGGGGGGTGGAACAACATCCAGCAAAAAATACGTAATTTCGGAAACTTCAAGCAGGAGAACTGGTAGCAGTTTTAACGCTGAAATTTATATATATTTTCAAACTAGCACAGACCTTTTACCAGAAGAAAGCTTCCAACATGCAAATTTATACACTTTATCACCAAATCTGCAAGAAAATAAATTATGTAATAGTTGTCAGGTTGATGGTGATGCTTGGCATTTCGTGGTTGATTGTAGTTTAACAGTCCCTATTAGACAGATTTTTAACATTACTGATTTTAATGTAAGTGTCATTAATTTTAAAGTTTTTAAATCATATTCTATTGCTCTAATGAAGATTATGAATGAAAATAGGACGCTAGTAGGAATCTTCTCTTAAAATTGAATTTTGTATTTATATGGGTTTTGGATATCTGTGGTGTTCTATGTTGTGAATTTGTGTTTATGGGTTTTTTTTGTTTTGTTTGTTAGTCTGTAATTTTGTGTTAGATGTGCTTATTTAGTTTTGATTTAGTATTTTTGTTTGTTGTTTGGGGGTGGCTGGGTTACTGGCTGCCCTCGTTTGTGGAGATACGGGGCCCCTTCTTTTGAGCTATGGGGACACTCGTGTCCAGGTGGGCTGAGGGGAGCCTCCAATTCTTACACTTTATCACCAATAGTTCCTTAAAATACACACCAAACGTGACTTTTCAGGGCTAGATTTATGATAAGCACATTTTGGTATTCTGAAGATAAATAAAGCACAGATCATATCCTTATTAATTTATAAAATTTCCCAACGAACTATATCATGACTATTGCAAAATACTTGCATAAAAGTACTCCATTACTCCTCACTTGAAATGGCCACCTTACGGGGTGTCAGCTATAAAGAGTTTAGATGTCATCAAAAGATAGGCTATGGCAGTGAGATGAGTTCTGTTGAACTGACCACTTATAGATAGGAAACTAGTTAATGATGACAGGACACTTTGATTTACAGAAGACTTGAGCACTCGCATCCCTTTCAGCAATCAGGGAAAGACAAAATCAATACAGCACTTTAAGTTCATCTGCAACTAGTGAGTAAGTCTATATCCTATATCTAAAGTTCCTATCTCCCGTTCTATTGGGCTGATTGTCAAAATTTAATTTGCGTTTTTATTCATGTCTCAAAAGCATGGCTTAAGATATATATTAGATTTCTATATAACGTTGTTCTAACATACGCATATTGACATAAAATCGGACTTTTTCTGACATGACATACCTATTTTTTCCCATATTTTGATTCTATGATTCAAATTATACCCAAATATGAAATTTCGTAAAATTTAGTGAGAAATTTTAAAACTTTTCTTGGCGCACTTTTTCAGTTTGTGCCAAGAATAATTCATTTAGCAAAATTCTTAATTTACAGTAATCTATTTCCCTTTCCCTCTTTTTACTGTGCACAAGCAGGAAAAAAGGACCATTGTTCATTCTTTCAAATAATTTTAACAAAGTGCTTTAAGCACATTATTATCGCTTATAACAAGTATGCCAAATTTCAAAACGCGCCAATATTTAAATTCATATATATCTTAGGAAATTTTGAATAAAAAGCTCTAATTTTTTGCATGTATGCTTAGAAATACATGTACTTTAAAATGATGGCAAAACTTTTAGTTCAAAATGTTTTTTGAAAAACTTATAAATGCTATTAAAAATACAAATTTTAAGAACAAATAAAAAAAGCTACAAATTTTATTTAGATTGAACCTAAATTCTGAACTTTGAAAGAAAGAATCATGCAAGTTTAATAGAAAAGAGATATTAATAAATATATACCAAATTCAATTGACACTGAGATGCTAAAATGTTGAGAGCTAATTTTTTAAAAACTCCTCGTGCAATTTTTACAAAATTTGGCACTTCGGCATAATCTGAGTCACAAAATCGAAATGTGGAAGAAAATAGGTATTTCATTTCAAATTTGATACAAAGTCCGATTTTGTATTAGAATATCTATGTTAGAACAAAGCTGTGTATTAGTCTAATATATATCCTATGTCGTGCTTTTGAGACATGAAAAATGCAAGTTAAATTTCGTCAATCGGCCCATAACCTGAATTGGCTGAGTAGACTGTTGTGCAGTTTTCAATGACCGAGCCAATTTTATTTTGTGCTGATCTATTACTACTAGTATATTAGTGGCCTATGTTGACCAGTTTGTGGAAGTTGCTTTTTTAAAGTGGTATTCGAATATCTGTGGGCAGTCAAACATACAGTGGTCTACTGTTCCTTCCCTACTTCACATACAATGATTTGCGTCACTGTGCCAGAAGAAGTGCAGATTTGCTGGGAATGGAGCATGTTCAGAGAAGTGAAGTGTCAGTGAAGAGGAGCTGCTGCATAAATTTGCTGCCACCTTTAGAAAGGAATTCTTTGCAATTCATGGTGGCTGTGAGCCATCTCTCCTGTCAAGTTTTGAGCATGTGCTCCTAAGTAGTCCACTTAAGATATAAGAAGGAGAGTTGAAATCACTTTTTCTTGGACATTATTTGCTGTCACCTTCACCAGATTAAAATTCCAAATCCTAATTATGAATTTTGAGATATCTCTGCTTGTTCTAACATTGTGGAGGGGACATCAGTAATTTAAAAGATACAGTGATAATTTTATTTGATTCCCAATCTAAAAAGTTCTTATAAACCCCAATTCATTACTTCTGTCTTAACAACTTTTGTTTAAGTACCACAGTTAAGTTTTTGTTTTTTAAATCATATCACAACTACAGCTTGCTCCTCAGTGCATAAGGTGATGTTTCATCGTCACAGAGCTTAAAATTCAAAGCTAAACAAATAAATACAGCGATGGGGAATACGTAAAAATAATTAAAATATATGAATTATTATAAATTTTACCAGCTGATCAAATGCATATCAATAACAAACAAAATGTGTAAGGTATTTATATACTTTTTAGCTTCAAATGAGAAAAGAAGTTAAGAATGTATGGAAATAAATCACTACAAGAAAGTAGTTTATTTTCTTTATTGCTTTATATTAGTATGTACATTTTATATTAGAAAACATATGTGAATACATTTTATTATTATTGTTAACAAGGAATAGGCACAAATTTTCTGCTTTGAAATGGAAGTCCAAAACATATTTAGTATATTGCAGTTTTACAAAACACAACACATTTTCTTTTTCTGATTTTAATGGTTTCCCTTTTAAGAACATTGAACTGTCTTAATTTAAGTAATATAAAGTGAGATACACTTTAGAATTTATGTTACATTCAAAAATAAATTATTCAGTTGCTTAGGGTAAAAAATAAAGCAAATAAAACATAAAAAACTTTTTGTAATTTCACAAATTTATCCAAAATTTATAAACTTATAATAATCAAAATACTGTATGAATAATTAAATCAAAAGACTTCAAATCTAAGAAAGTATAAGGATATAATTCTGGAAAGGTATGCATAAAACTATATGTATAATATTTTAAAAGGATTGCCCGAATTATTATAAATTTTACCAGCTGATCAAATGCAATATCATACAAAATACAGTATTGTACTTAATGAGAAGTGTGCTATTGCAGCACACTCTTTGGTAATGCAGAAAATTATTTTAAGTATTGATGTTTCAGATAGTAATTAAGGTTCTAAGACTAATCTTCGATAACAGTCTTCTGGTAATGAATGTCTGATAGCTGCAACATTTGCAACATCTTTTTTGAGCTGTTCAATTTCATCTTCATAATCTCTCATCCACTGCTTTTGCTCTTCTTGTGCTTCCCTCAAAGCTTCAGCCCTAGCTCCAAGATCAGCATTTATAAATTCTCTCTCAGCAAGAGCTAGAAGTCTCTCTAAATCATCAAGCTGTGAACTGTCAACTGTATCTAAATCAACTACATAAAGGGAAATGAAAACATTAATAAATACCTAAAGCATATATACAACGATAAACATTCTCAAATAAAAAATGCTGAAAGAAACCAATATTTAATATTGCAGTCCGACATAAGGAATCATCTACGCAGTCTAAACATTACTTTCCAATGACAGGATAAGGCTTTTAGTTTTTGCTCAATATTTCAAGTATTGGAACAAAATAAGAATTATTCAACTAAGAACATTAATTCGCTTGCAAAATTTATTTCTGGTTAAACTACTTTAGCAATACGTCTTTTAAAATTCAACAGCATTATAAAATAAAATAAAAAATCTGGAAGCTTTCAGATTTTACATTATGCCCAAAGGGACTTTTTAAAACCTTTTATGTGTTACCTTTATTTATTAAATGTTCTTTGCACTTAAACCATAAAATTCAATTCAACAGCAATATTGAAAAATAATTTTTAAATGAGGATATCTTCAGAAGTTCCTGATACACAGTCTCACATGAAAAGACTTGCTTTAGAACACCGTGTTGTGAAATTTGTAAAAAAATATCATTATCATTAAGTACTAGGTGTCTGAAATGGTACTATCATGTTATCAGATTGGAACCATCATTTACTTCCAGTTCTCTTGCAAAACGTCAGCTACAGAATGTCACCAAATCATGTATACAGCTTTAGGTACTAATGTTGTATCGTATGACAATGTGAAGGTTTGGTACTGAATGTTCAAAAACAAGGACTATGATATTAAGCAGGGAACTCTGGCTGGCCTACCGATGCTGATGAGGCCTGCCTGCGAGAACTTGTGGAATATCAGTATGCAATCACTAGTAAGCTTGCTAAGGAGTTACACGTCAATACTATGTCCATTAGTCATGCTATGCATTGCATAAAATTGATGTACAAGTTCAATTGTTGAGTGCTGCATGAGTTTGACTCAAACAGATAGTGCAGATTAGTGCAGGAGCAGATGTGTTGGCTCCTGCACTAATCTGCTCGAATATCAAATGCAAGAACAAAATTTTGGATTGGATCATCACTTGTGATGAAAAGTGGATTTCCTTCAAAGGAGGTTGCTCTGCACCCGCTGAGCCTGTCGGCAGCGGTGCAAAGCCTAATCTAACTAATATAAAGATCATCCTTTGTATCTGGTGGGATTGTCATGGTATTATTTACAAAGGTTATCTGGAAAAAGCTAAAACCCTCAACCGTAAGGTGTACAGTGAAATGCTAGTCCATGCTAATGCTGCTATCAAGGGAAAATGTCAAACTGAAACAACTGGTGCAAAAACATAATGTTCCATCAAGATAATGCAAAACCACATGTGTCTGAATTCACTGGATGGAGTACAGACTCAAATGGGATCTTTTGCCACACCCACCATATAGCCCCAACATCGCTCCTTCAGACTTCTACCTTTTTTTCACACCTACAGCTACATCTTGCTGGTGCTATGTTCCATTCAGCACAGGATGTCTGAAATGAGTTGATCTGTTTTTGGATTCACAGCCACTGTTTCTGGGCTGAAGGCTCTGAAAAACAACCAAAATGTTGGCAGAAAATCATAGATTTGGGTGCTGATTACTACTTACACTATAGGCACTGCTTTCATGTTTTTTTTTTTTTTTTTTTTTTTTCCTAACTTTATTAAGAAAGTTTTTTCGTAGAAAACTTTCATTACAACCAGATATTTATTTATTTATTTTTTACAGTTCTAGATATTTGAATTGGTTATGTATTATGCTCTATGTATTACATTCTTTTAAATATCATTGAACATTTTGTTTTTACTGTTACAACTCTGCTTTCTAAAACTATATTTCTAACAATGCTTTATACTAATTCTACATTATGTCAAAACATATGTAGTAAAAATTTTAATTACTTTTAATGTAAAACATCATAAAACTTTCTAAAACTTAATTTCTATAGAAATTAGGAGCTAAATTTTTATTTGATGCAGTGGTGGGCACAGATTGAGCAATATTTTGCACTCTGTAGTTATACGATACTATCTTTTCATTTAGCTCCATTTTTAGCACTAAATAATTTGTGTTCCAGCCTTTTTTGGACCAGCATATATTTCTGAATGGAAATTGGGACAAGCGGCACAACTATAACAGCCCTGCATGAAGCTTTGCTTATTTCCCAAACCTCAAAACAAAAAATATGTTCCCTGATGATGAAACAAAAATTACAAAATTATTAACAAAATTTTGAAGAACAAAAAGATAAAATATGAGAAGTCTGAATAATTGTCCATACATGTCTGACAATTTGCATGTCAAAGCTTTACTGCTCCATTCAATGAAATTCATTCAAGATTATTGTGATCACAGTTTTAACCAATATTCAAAGTTCACATTACAGAAAATAGCTGTCATAAAAAATAGAATTAAAACACCACGCTGATCAAAAGATTATTAATTTATTCCAGTTTACAAATAAGATGTTGAAATCAATTTCAGAAATAAAACATCTGATATAGATGAAAATTATTGTTGAGTTATCTATTCTATGCAGTGCAAGGGCATAGAATCTCTCTACTTCATACTGAAGTTTGAAAAGCTTCAGGCAGTATTTATTAGTCAGCACCCGACATAATTTTTCATATTTTTAACATCTTAAAGCTAAATATGGATATGTTGGATCTTTTCTACGTGTAAATAGCCTAATTATAGTATTGTCTGCATAACAGAAATGAAATTATAAGACAGTAATTTAATAAAATGGTATTTGAATAAAACACATCTAATTTAACAATTAATATATTTTCAATGTTCTCACCACACACTTACTAAGGCAAATAAACACCTGAATTTGTAAAAGTATCTATTTCTAATCCTTTTTATTTTTACATTTGACAACATTATTTAATGCTAATAAAAATTTTTCTCAAATATTATCAGGATTAATTATCACATTTAGTATTTTAATACATTTATTTATGAATAAGTATTTTGAAAATTTATATGTAACTTATGATCATCAACCTTATTTAATTTAATAATTTGGAATATATATATATATAATCTATATATATATAATGAAGCAGTATACTGAGATGTAATGTTCAGAAATAGTGATGGTGTAGAATGTTGAGATGCTTCATTTCTAAGATGTTGATCTCTAATGAACAGCAAACTTGGGCACGGAGGCAAATTAAATATAGCTAGGCCAAGCTACAGAAAGGAAGTGCCTTGTTTTCATGAAGAGTGAATTCTATTTGAAAAAATGAAATGATGAGATCTTAATTCAGAATGAGTTAGTTTCAGTTTCAATGCATTCAATTAGATAATTAATAATGTTGTAAAATTATTATTGGCTGTTTGAGTTTTAGTTCATTTACATCACAAGCATTTATTAAGAGTATGTGACAGAGTATGTGATTAGTCTCAAAATAGCACAGTGCAGAAAAAGATATTACTATTTTTAGAACAGAGAGGATAAATACTCAAATTAAAATTAAGCATTATTGGGCTACTGCTAATTTAAATTGCAATTTACATTTAGATATTTTTTATCTTACATATTAAATATGTAAATTATTATTATAAATTAGCAGCAGCCCTTAATGTTTACTTGTAATTTATACTATCAGACACACACACACACACACATATATATATATACTATATAATTTTTTTAAAAATTTTCATCAACCCATGGTAAATTTTTTATTTTATTCACATTAATTTCACAGCATTTTATTCTAATAACTTTTAATAAAAGATATTCTAATTTTGTTCTCTTTTTCTGCCTGCATATATTAAAATGCATCAGTATTTTTAAATATTTGCACAAAATTTTTACGGCAGATATATGCATGTATGTCATAAAAACATGAATATTTGTTCATATCTTATACTTTTAATTATCTGAATTTCATTACATATGGTTCTTTTACTAAGTAAGCCTGGAAGGCCCACCAGCAGCCGAGCGGTAAAGTCGCTGAACACTGGTAGTTCGGTCCGAGGTTCGAATCCCACGAACGGGCTGGCTGCATGGGTGTTTTCGTGGTTTTTCTCATGTGTAATGTGTATACGAGCCAGTTTCCCTTACAAAGTCCTCCACAAAGGCATCCCTCCCTTAGGCAGATAGCCCTTGAGGCTTTGCCGTAATTAAATAACCTAACCTAAGTAAGCCTGGCCATTTCTTTCATACCCTCAGTGAAGAAATGCATTACAGGAATTAAATTGTTTGTAACTTCTCCAGCTTATATAATAACAGTTTATTCCTTAAAAAAATAAATTCAATACTGAGAGATAATAAAAAAATAAGTCAGCTAGTGATTAGTGCTCCAATACTGATGGCATTTCTAATATTCTACCAAATATTTTATGATATTTTCACAACTTCTAAGTTTAAATACAGTTTGTAAAAAATAAATTTAATGCTTTCTATGCTGTTTATGGGATTGATAGGATAGTGATAATATGTGTGAATTTCAAGGATAACACTTAAGAGGCATAGTTCAATGCAATACACAAAAAGCATAATTAACATTACTAATTTATGATTTTAATATTCTCAATACTGATATACTAGCTAGAAATCAGACGAATTTCGCTCTCTTCTTGCTTTATGTGGAGACAAGCAGTAATTCAATTATGATCTGAAACCAAAATTCAGTTTAAATGTATTTGTAATTTAGCTCACAGAATACTAAAATTATTTAAGGAAAATCTACATCTTCTGGCCCATACAATGTTTTTTTTTTTTTTTTCAGTTCTTATGATTTTATGTTAAAAAATTAAATGCCATATAGAATAGAAAGTTCCAGCAACTTACTGATATTTTATTTGAATTATATGCTTATAGAGCAAACATTTGTTTCTCAAATTCAAAAGATCTGAGTATCAAAGTGAATCTGTTGTAAGAAAGCAAGGAGATACTAAACCCTAATAAGATTTGCATTAAAATATATAACAATTTTGTTAAATATGTATAAAAGATGCATTAAAAAAGTGCATACAAAATTAAAGTAAAAAATAAATCAATTACAAAAGCTTTTCTTTTTGAAATACATTGATAATACAAAAATATCACCACGAAACATAATTACTAAGAAATAGTTACTAGAATAATCAAAATCTTCCAAAAAAATCCAGAAAGATAATAAATACCTAAAGCATCTAGAATATTATCTAATTTTGCAGTAGCAGTTCTTCCTTTATCAATAGCTTCTACAGCTGCAGTCTTTGCTTCATTTGCCTTCCCTAAAGTCTTTAAAGAATAAAATAATGGTTATAGTACAAGAAGATGACATACTTTTTGAAAATAAACATATTTATGGTCAAAGTCTGTTTTAGGTAATATGGTGATGTTTCACATAACGAAAACTTGCAGGGACCTATAAATGTTTAGCAGAATGAACCATGTGTGATTTTCATTAAATATCAAATGCAGACGAATTTTTTAAAATTTTATTTTCTGTTTTAATGGTGGGTAAATACTTAACCCCATTCCCCCCCCCCAAAAAAAGAGAGAGAGCAAAATAATGGATGAATAAACATATTTCTTACTATTATAACTTAAGAAGTGCAAGCTATTCTTGAAGATGATGGAACCACACAGGGAAGTTTTCTTTGGTAAGGAAGAACAGGAAAAAAAAAAAAAAAAGATTCATGTCAGCTGCAGCTAACAAGGAACTTCTGAAGATTCAAAAATTAGACTTAAAATGAAAATGCATTGAATTAGAAGTGGGAAGAGGTCCAGGTCACAAACATGATGTGATATCTCAGGAAGATGGGATGAATGGAATAAGCTATCCATTCAATGATAATGCTATGAATTACTTCTGGAGCATTCTAAAGAAGAATATTTCAGAACAGTCCTGAAATAGTGTATTGCCATTTCAGATAACTTCATAACATATGGATGTCTCATAAAACAAAAGACAGATTTGCAAGCAAGGGAAAGAGGGGTGAAGCTGTTTAACTTCCAACAGACGGCTAGAATGACAAATTAAACTGAACTAAAAAATGTGAGGTTGCATATAAAAATATATAATTATTGCATATATAAAGCATCCATACACAAATATTTTATAACTCAGTAAATTTCCATCACTTCCAACACTGGTGGTAGTTTTAATATTCTACATAATACTTTTATGACCATTTCACAATTTTGGACCAGGCCTAGAAATGAATTAAAACTATTTCCCTAGAAAGCTATGGAAAACAGCATAACACATAGAAAATGATTTGCATAGCGGATTTGCTATTGAGGAACAGACAATACTCATTACGTGAACCACCACTGTAATTATGCTAAAATGTAACATTATTCTAATTGTATCACTTTTTTAAGAAATTTAAAATCTAACAATGCAGAAACACTATTAAAATAAGGCACATTTCATCTTAAATATTATAAAAAATATTAACTTTCTTTTCTAATACTATAAAAGAGTGATTCTAACCTAAAAAACACTTTTAGCATAAAATTAAACAGGGCGAAGAAGTAGCTAACAAAAATTTTTATTTGATTTGCATTTTATATTTTCTATATTTTGCTTGCAAAGTAACTGAAGAAAAGTAATGTACAGTCAAAAGTTGTTAATCCGGACACCCATAAACCGGAATGATCTATAATCCGGACCTCAAAGCTACAAATTTTCTGCGCATGCATCAATGCATTAATGCGTTGATGCATGCTCGTAATACGTTTACGCATGCACATAATACATTTACGCATGTGCATTTAATGTGAAACCAACAGTATAAGCTAAGCTCAAATTATCTAATTATCTATTTCAGTTGATGTTGCAGATTGCGTTGTTCCTTAATCTTCGAACTGGATCCGGCTTATTATTTTTTTGCAGACTGTTAGAGCAATTTTATAAAAGTAAGTTGGAACATTCGATTATGTCAAATAGAATTTCCAATGCTGGAGCTGCAAAAGGATCTACAAAGGGAAAGCATGTTTCGAAGTCCATCAAACAAAACGTGGAATTGCTGAAAAAATGGATAAAGGCATATATTTTGTTTCTCTAACCATTCCAAAATATGTTTATCAATTTCACGCTGCTCTGCGTGGGGTGGGGGAACGTCGTGGCATGCAATGAACTGGAAGTTGATCTGTCAGCACTATCCTCATCTTCAGGGCAGATGGTTTTATTTTATTCGGCTTATAATTCCTTACTAAATGCAGTATTTCATCTCAATGTACTCCGTCTTTGATATGATTTAAATAAAATTCCTCGTCATTATAAATATCACAAATACAAATCAAATAGTTTTCTGGTTGCAATTTTTTAATTTTGACTATGCGCGCGTTGAAAACATTTTTTAATAAAGTAAACAAATAAATATTAAGCTTTTTTTTTGTAAATTTTGATACCCTTTAGATCATAATTGCTCTTTATTTCATAAATTATGGTTTCATATTTTTAATTTTATAAATTTTGCATGCCATCTTACTAGATTTAAACTGATGATCTATAATCCAGAAAAATCGATAATCCGGAATCGCCGACGAGTCCGGATTAAAGACTTTTGACTGTATAAATATTTTCATTAAAATATTCTCTGAATATATAAAGAAAATATAAGAAAAGTTATCAATTAATTTACCATGTGAATAGTTATTAGTTTGCTAATTTAAATAAAATTAGCATTATTTGAAGACAAAATATCAACATAATGATTTTTAATTTATTCTTACTTCTTTTGCCAATGCTCCTCCCATCTCTGCTTCATCTTCATAACGTTTCATTCTGACATCAGTATCTTCAATTTGGTCAGTCAGCTGGCCAGCTTGATCTCTTAATTGACCGGCCTGTTCTTTTGCCTGTTCTGCTTCTCTGCGAATCTCACCAGCATCCTAAGTACAATTTACACAATAATAACATTTTCTTGCAGATATGTATGAAAACATCACATAGAGTGGATGTGAAAGATTGAATATTATAACACTCCAGAATTAAATGTAAGACATTAAAAATGATAATAAGCATAATACAGTGCATAGAAAAAGTATTTCAGAACATCTGTTATATAAAATTGTAAACTTTGCAATATAACATGACACAGCTTGATTGCATCTGTTCAGCCTTTGTGCATAATAAAATTAACTTTCTGGATGTAGAAATTTACATGCTATATTGCATGTCAATAAAGCAAGCAAGTATAACTTAAGGTTTCTCACTTCTTGAGACCATTTGAAAGCTGAAGCATTTACCAGATCTTCTTGGTATGTTTCTTCAAGAACAGAGCTCAGATGGAGGCATTTAAATGCTCAAAGCAAAAACCACTGCTGGCAGCACTCTCAGTATAATAGCACTAGGAATATTGTCTACTTCATGTGTTTAAAATTAATTTTTAGGGGAACATACCAGATCTGATATTACACTAAGCAACTACCTAGATAATTTCCCCCTAATTTTAGTGCCCAACTATCAATGTTCACTTTTTAAAAGGAAGTATAATCAAATGAAGTATATTTGTAAAGCAAGATGATATTTTCTACTCTTCTGTTAATGGGACCGGATTGAGAAATGTATGTATGTATGAATATATGTGCATATACGTGTATGTGTTTACACACACATACACGCATACATACTTATATACATACACACATGCATACCTACATACATTTCTGAATTTCATCCTGATAACAGAAGAGCACCTGATATTTTTCACATTTGATGTTTTTATACTTGTCATATTTCTGAATATGCTATTCACATAAATTTATATTAATTGAATTTCCTGTACATAAGTATCTTATTTAATATCATTAAATTTTAATGTAGTTTTAACTAATAATATTAGGGTATTTTTCTGTAATTTTTTGCTCAATTGTTTATTGACTTAAAAATATTTATTAAAAATTACTCACTACCACTCAAAATTACATTTTATTTGTCATTTCTAAATCTCTCTCTTTTTAAATCTACTTAATGTCATTATAATTATTTTATTTCATAATGTTACAAGATTAGAGAAATATTATTAACTTTTATTATCAGCTTGAAAAATTTTGGTCATAAAAAGGATGAACACAAGAAAAAGAAATAAGGTTGAATCTATACAATAACACATCACTATTAATTACATAAATTGCATCAATAAAAATAGTTAAGAACAAAATTGGTATTACTGATGACCAACAGTTTTTTTTAATGGATATTTTTTTAAAAAACTACTAACTGTCAACATGATCATATTAAATGGTTAGTATTGCAATTAATTACATCTACAGAGAAGCTCTGAATATAATGATTATAAGTATACTTTTTTTTTGGTAGTATTATCTATAGCCTTAACTAAGAAATAGAACAAATAGAACTATATATACGTACATTAAATCATTCAAAAGCTGAAAACAAAAACTCAACAAAAAAAAAAAAAAAAAAAAAAAAAAAAAAAAAAAAAAGAAAAAGAAAAAAAATATCAAACAGTTTCCAGTAGATAAAAATATTAGATGTAAAAACTCAAATAAGGCATATTTCTTTTGAATGACCTTGATGTACTAAACTTTGCAAGTACCTCCTTTTTTGAGAATTGACAGCTTCTGGAAATTTAGTTTCAAACAAGTGAATTACTGCCATTTTGCATATTTCATTTCTTCACTCCATATCTACATCATATTTTGGGAATGCTTTTAACATTTTAAACTTTTTCATATATTTAAATTAGGCCATTTATGTAATGACTTACTTATTGGTTCATTGCTATAACTTGCAACGTTTATTTTTTTTTTTAAATTTCAAACTTTTAGAAGAATTACAATTTACTTACACATTTCTTTATACATGCTTAAAAAAACTCACAGACTCCCGATTGAATTTCAGTCAGATATACTACAAAAACTTTTCAATAATGATGACTGCTTACACAATGTAAACTAGTTCTCAAATTTTTTATTTTCTCATTTAAATCTCATTTCTCAGAGCCATATTACTAATTTAAAACATATTAAAATAACTTATTAGATTGGAGATGCATATTGCATGACCATTTTGCCAATATCAGCTTATTAAAATTAAATTTACTGAAAATAGGTACACATTGAGTAATAACTTGACGGCAGTAAAAACGACTCATAAGCAATACGTGACTATTGCTGCATTTATTGTGAACAAATGAGGTATTTAAACCCCTGAATTAGCTTATCACTTTTATACAATCTAAATTACTTTGGGCAGAATTTCAGAGATCATACACAGATATTACTAATGCACTAAGTTCCCAAATAGGAATTTTTAAAAGTTTACTTTTACAATGAAAACATTAATTTATTTAAGCCCCCTATTATGCATTACTTTTTTAAAAATGATAAAATTTGAATTTTTTCCCTTTAAGATGAAAAAGGTGCAAGTTATACATTTGACTTTTTTCATACCAATTTTGCATGTTCTAGATTCATTTTTTAATCCCTAAAACAATCTTAGGATAAGAATGACTTAGTGAAAAGAATTTTTTTTTCACAGAGGACCAGAATAAAAATTTTAATTTATAAGCTTATATTAAAAGGTGTCCTATGACCCAAAATGCCACAGTCTAAAAAGCTTCTTTATTTATTTAATTCGTTTTTAAAATTAGAACTGTAAGTCTATGATCAATTTCCCACTTAACTGTGCAATTTTTTTAAATATTCTATATATAAAGGTAAGAACAAAGACTAATAACATTTAACTCAGTGGTTCTCAACCTTTTGACTAACACATACCATCTAAACAAAAGCTAAAAAATTTTAGTACCACCACTACATTTTACGATGATTATTTTTCAGTTTTTCAACAGAAATATTAATACATATATATATATAGAGAGAGAGAGAGAGAGAAATTGCCATTTGCACAACATATTGGTTATTTTTATTAAATATGCACACATACAAAATATTAGATTAAAAATTGGTTACCATTTTAATTATCAAAATTTAAGTTATAGTGTTTTAATTCTAAAATTTAGTGCAAAATTTGGGCCTGTTTAAGAGAGATAAATTTCTTTATGTCTGGCCATATTTCACTTAAATTTAACCGTAAATTAGGATCCACTTTTAATTTTCTTCCACATTTATTTTTCAGATATAACATAGAAGAAAATCCTTGTTCTTACAAATAGGTTGTTCAAAAAGGCCATAAAAATTTAATAGCCTTATTTGAAAAGCCTTTAAATTCTTTTTTTTTTTTTTTGGTTCAGCCAAAAGTTAACAAGCGTGTTACTTTTGAAATTTTCAGTTATATTTCAATTACAGGAAATTTTTATCATTTGTTCTTTTTCTTCACGAGGTAAAATTTCAGGTACATTTGAACAAAGTGAATTTCTAATCCAATTTTCTTTTTCATAGTTCTCGGAAAAATACATGTTGAAATTATTTATCAAAGAAAAACATAGATTTTTATAATCTGATGCTAATTCTTCTTTTATTTTCAAATTACTTTCAGCTAGAAAACTTTCTAAAAGTGGTAAAAAGTTTAAAATATTATTATGCAATTCTTTGATTATTAGTTCAAGTTTTTTTTTTATCACTGCATTTATTTTATCTCTAATGATAAACAAATTAAGACTTTGTTCTTGTAATCCTAAATTTATTTCATTTAATTTTCCAAAAATATCAGCTAAATTCTAACACGCCAATCATAATTTACTAAATAAACATTTCTGCAATTCAAGTTTTGAATCACAAAAGAAAATTTGAATTTTTGATCAAAGTTGAAAAAACAATTTAAAACTTTGCCTCTAGATTTAAAACCTTACTTCAGAATGCAATAAAACCGTTTCATGTTCACTGCTCATCTCTTGGCATAAAATTGTAAATAATCTTGAATTTAAAGTTTGGCTTTTATTAAAATTAACAATTTTCACAGCTTGATTCAAAACGATTTTCTGGTTTTCAAGGATTGTAAAAGCTTTACGATGAATGGAACAGTGAGTAAATTTAGTTTCAGGCACAACTTTAATTTGAGAAACAACAGCGGAATATTTTCCTGTTAAAAACTGAGCTCTGTCACTGAATACAGCAATGCACTTATTCCAAAGAATATCATTCTCAGACATAAAACTCTCAATTACTATGAAAATTTCATTTGCAGTTGCTCTATCATGAAGATATTCACAAAGTCAATGCTCTTTGTTTATCGCAATTTGTTTATCTTCTTCGAAACGTATGCAAACTATTAACTGAAGGAAGTTTGTTATATCAGTATTTTCATCCAACTGTAAAGCTAAATACTCACTGTGTTTTATTTTTTGAGTAAGTGTCTTTTGTATGGAATTTGCCATTTCATGAATTCGTTTACTTACTGTATCATTTGATAACAAAATATTATTAATTTCATTAGCCACTTTTTTCTTGAATACTGTTAAAATGATATCTTTAGTTGCTAGTAATTAAAGGTTTTTCTCCAATAGTGTGAGCCTGCTCAATCATGGCAATTTGTAGGCTTACTAAGTAACTAGCTACCAAAGCTTTTTCACTTGAAGTAACAAAACCTTTCATTACTTATTTACGTTTTTTAAACTCCTATAATTTCCTCTTAAAATATTCTACAAATTTATTCTTTAAATTCGCATGCTTGGATTCAAGATGTCTTTTAAGAAATGATGGTTTCGTACTTTGAACGGATAACAATTAACCACAAATAATACATTGAGGTTGAGGGTCCTTTTCATCTCCATTCCAAGTAAACCCAAAGGATAAATAACTTTAATTTTATTTTCTATAAACAATTTTCTTTTTTTCCTCCAATATTTTTAATTCTAGTAGATTGTTCGGTCTCCAATCACCTGTGAATCATCACTTTTCCGCTTAGTCAATATTTTTCCATTTTGAGAATCTAGGTTTGTTTTGTTATTTTTTCACAAATATTTAAATAAACAATATATTACGAGTTTTTTCAAAACAAACGAAAATATTCTCAAACTACATAACAAAGTAAGAAACAGATAGCAACAAGATGACAAAATAACTGCTGTTAGAGACAGCAAATCGAGGTAAAAAATTTCTAATTGAAAATAGATCAACATGAGTCAGGAAATGGTGGCGACACAAAGTGTAGACATGCTATTAAATGGATCAACTCTAAAAGAATTAACAAGTTACTATTATCTTTTTATAGAAACTATTTTTATTGCCTATTAAATACGACATCCATTTCAATTACTCCATTAAAACACATTATTTATGAGAAATTCTGCTATGTCTATGGCTAAAACGTATTTCTGAAAATAAAAATGGATTATTTTGCTTAAGTCTACGAGCGTCTACTAGCCTTGAACAAAGCTCAGATCGCATAAATTTATGAGTGTTATGGAAAAAACTTAAACAATATGTTGGGGTATTTAATGTTTGAATTTAATAGTTAAAATACTTTGTTTCTTTGTGTACTAGTTGAGAATCGCTGATTTAACTCAAGACATGGATTAAGCATGGAATTATCTATTTATAGCTGTTTAAAGAAATCGGTTATTATTTTCCTTTCTTCAATTATTTATGTTTCCTAATCACAGTGGATGTGTATCTTAAAAACTATTAAAACAGGATATTTAAATATGACCTCACTTTTGATGACTGTTCCGCAAGTCTTTTAGCTTCTTTAGCTATATCACGAGCATCAGCTGCATCTTGAGTAGCACCACGCAAAGCATCTTCTGCATCAAAAGTTTTGTTTTCAGCTTCTCCAACTTTTCTCTTGACATAGGGTATCTTTTTTAAAGTTTCATTTGCCCTTTCTTGACTTTCTCTCACTTGCTGATCAAATCCTAAGCAATTTTTTAATGCACCAATACATGGTGCATTTAAAAATTAATTAATTTCATATTTAACAATTTAAAATTAATTTCATATTTAATAAATATGAAAAAGTATTAATTACTTTAAAATTAGCTGTTAGGTAAGGCATTTTTAAAAATATAATAAATTGTATATACAATATAATTTATTTTAAACATTATGATATGAATCATCAACAATAATTAAGTTATTCCAATAAAATTAAAAAAAACTTTGATAAGATTCTACAGTGAAAGGCCAAAAAGCCATGGGAGCAACGCCAACATTTTACACATTAAATAATTACTTTGCATATGCAAAATGGCATGGAAACTAAATCAATCATTTATCCTGGCTCACTTATTATTTAACATGATTAAACCAAAGAGTTTGCACATGTTATGACTATTGCTTCTAGAAGGATGGCTCATGTAGTTTTAGAAATCACTCATTTCCATTCACATAAATTGATAAAAAACTGTATATTGAAGAGCATACTTAATGTTACCTTGCATAATTAATAACGAATCACAGATGAGCTATAATGCATGAAACTGATATCAGATTCAGTGCAAGGTTCTCATAAAATGTGCCTGAAAGGAATGTTCATTGTGTAAGGATTTATTTTGTTCCAACCAATTATTTTTAGTTTTCCTTTATCTTCTGATTTCAGTTTCCTGCCACAATGTAAATTTTGTATGATGTACTATTTAAATTTAAACATGTTTCAGAAGCAGTATTTAAGCTGTGTGTCAAGAGTTCAAAATGAGGAGTAGCGGACTTAGTTCCAAGTTTATTTTGTGTGTTGAATTTAGCTCTCTATCTGGTGTTAGACACCTTTCAGTTGATACTGATATATTTCTCGGCTCGGCTTTGCTGTGTGCAGCCAATTTAGCATTAGTTAAGCTAAGGAGCCAGCCATTAGATATCTTAATTTACTAGTGATTTATTACATTCTTATTTTGTTAATTTATTTATTGTAATTTTCTGTAATTTTAAATAAAAACGTTATTTAAACCTTTCTTCTGTAGTCTATTCTTCAAGAAATAGCGAGTATTCGCTACTTTGTCTTCAACGTAAAGTGAATGTTGTATGCTCCTTAAAAAAACATGCAGACTCTATAATTGCACCTCTATAATTATACCTTGATGAACATTGTAGAATTCTAGGACTGGAAAGGGCACGAAGATATGAACTGGATGACAGAATGGCATGGTCTGATGAAACCAGATTCTAAATCTTTAATGTTGACCTGATTAGATAGTAGTATATACTCCACAGAGCTCTGAGCCTGCATGTCTCTAAGATATAATATAAATTGGTGGAGATTTTGAGATAGTTTACGATGTGTTCATATGGTTGGTTTCAGGCTTTCTATTTCTTTCACAGCCTATTCCAACTAGCCCAAGATATATCAGCATTAATTAAATAATGCAATATGCCACTAATCTATGGTTGTTATTAGATGCTTACAAGAACATTACATAGATTTTACCATCATAATTTGATCACTGTTGTCCCCCAACACAAACTTCTGGGATCATTTATAGAATGCACAGGGAACAAGTTAAATGATTTAGAAATGGGCCTAGTTACACCAGTGCAATGCAATTTGGGAATACACTGCAGAATTGTAAGCAGCCTTTTTGAATGGTATCACCAATTCATTGATTTTATGCCATGATGTATGAGATACTTCTGAGGACTACAGGAGAGCAACCTGTTATTGAGCTCTTAATCCTACGAGTTTCTGCCTCACTGTATACACTGACTACCAATAAGTATTTGGACACCTATGCAAATGACGATATCTGCGGTCCTAAGGTACGACACGGACTCCGCTGGTATATATTGTGTACGAAAAAGCATCGGCTTTAGTTGCATGCAAGATGCCTCGCAGTTCAGAGCTCTCTGATTTCGAGAAAGGTATAATTATCGGGTATCACAAATGTGGCCGATCCTTAAGGGACATATCTAGCGATCTGAAGTACCCAAAACCGACAGTGGCCTATGTGATTAAGAGTTGGAAGGTGAGCGGAATGTGCCCCAAGTCGGCAGACCAACGAAACTGGGAGATAGAGACCTACGAGTGCTGTCCAGAGAAATTCAGAAGAATCGCACCCAACCGATGGCCGTCATCCGCAAGGAGTTTCAACAGGCATCCGGGAGTATTGTTTCAATGAATACCATCTGTAAGAAAGCCCATCTGCTTGGTTTTCATGGTCGTGCTGCTGCTCACAAGCTTTTGATCACAAAGTCCAACCGCGCTGCTCGGTTAATGTGGTGCAAAGCACATCGAAATTGGACCGTAGATCAGTGGAAACGGGTTCTTTGGAGTTACGAATCAAGGTTCACCCTTTACCGTTCGGATGGCAGGGTCTACCTGGAGAATGTCTCCTGCCAGAATGCATTGTGCCAACAGTCAAGTTCGGCGGAGGTGGAATTATGGTCTGGGGGTGTTTCTCCTGGTATGGGCTGGAACCCTTGGTCCCCATTCATGGTAAGCTCAACTCCGATGCCTACTGCACTATTTTGAATGACAATGTGCCTACTACGTTGTGGCAGTTTTATGGGTTGGACCCCTGTTACTTTCAGGATGACAATGCCAGTTGCCATGTTTCGACGTTAACTAAGGCTTGGTATGGTACCAATGTAGTTCATCGAATGGACTGGCCTGCCTAGAGTCCAGACTTGAACCCTATCGAGAACCTCTGGGACGAGTTGCATTGCCGAATTCAGGGGTACACTACCCGTGCGAAATCGGTGAAGGAACTTGTATGTCTTCTCCAAGCCGAGTGGAAGAAAATACCACTAGCTATCATACAAAGACTTGTGGAAAGTATGCCCCGGAGGGTCCCCGCTGTAATTACCTCTCGTGGAGGCTCTACCAACTATTGATTTTGAATAAAGTTAGTTTTTCTTTTCTATCACAGGTGTCCAAATACTTATTGGTAGTCAGTGTATAACACAGAACTGATAACACCCATACCAATAGAAGAAGCCCTATATTGCAATTGATAAACATAAGTTTTTCAAAATACTACTGCAAATGTTATACAATATGAAAATTTCAGAATAAAAATTTTAAATATGTTCAAATAAGTTAAATATGTTAAATTATTTAAAAACGCTCATATAAATTAATAATTTTTAAATGATTTTGATAAATTTACCCTTTAATGTATCAAGTGTTTCTTTGGCATCATCTAAAATCTTTTCACCAGATGCTATGGCATCAAGAGCTTTAGCTAAAGCAGCATCAGTATCAGTTAGAAGCTCATCTGTAATCTACAAGCACAAAAAAGTTAAGTAAATTAAACAATCTATTATTTTTACATCAGAATATTTTTAATAAAGTAAATATATTATTGAATTCATTGAACATTGTTTACATTTTATATGCATTCAGAATATATTATGTTGATGTATTCAGTGAATTCATCTTTAGTGCTTTAATGTAATTTCATATTAAATGCATGTTAGAGAAATTTAAATCAAACTTACTGAGTTTCTTTTTAACAATAATTTGAGTGGAAATTGAATTTACTGTATACTAAAAATATTATGACATCAGAAAGAAATGCATCTCTACATCTAATACAAATTAGTACTTTAACAATTTTAATATCAATAATCAAGTTTTTAAGAGAATATTTTGAGTACCTTAGCACCACGTGAAAAGGCCAGGTTAATTTTTTCATATACCAGTAGTATTATAAGCAAAAATAGGTTTATACGATATCAATTAACTTTCAGATATTCTAATTAGATTTGTATAAAAAAGATAATACATTAAAAAAGTTAATGGACTTTTATTAAATCATGTTGTGTCTTTTATCCTATAAACTGGACTAGCAATAAGTCAGACATATTCTTTTAAAATTATAGTGTATTTTTCCCCTTGACCAACTATTTTAAAGGCAGTAATCTTTTAAGAAGGCACTAAGTATACCTGTTGTTGCCGTATTGCTTCATTCAGCAAACCCTCTGCATCCTTAGTCTGATCATCAAGCCTGGACAAAGTTTCTTTATGTTCATTAGCTAAACTATCAGCTTGTCCTTTCACTCTTTGTGCCTGAAAGCAACATTAATTAATATTAGTTTGAACAGTGTTAATATGGATCAGCTCTTAGTCTTTTCTTAAAATACAAAAACAAATTTTTATAATTCAGTATTGTTTATAAAATAAAATTATAAACACTAGAATGCAGTGAAATTTACAACTAATAAAATTTTTAATAAGCCATAGAAAGCATTCATGAATGTTATTAAAACTTCTCAAACATTACTATTAAATTATTTATTCTTAAGGAATAAAACCAGAATTCAATAAAGGGATTAAGATAATTGTAATAAGCACAGTAGATGATAAAAGAAAAATATATGCACATCATACATTATAACACAATTTGCCAATTAAATCAATTAACAGAAATTTACAGAATTATATTGAATTATGCCAAAATTTCATCTAGTAAAAAAAGGGAAAGAAAAGAAAGAGAAATGCTATCACAAATATAATAAACTAATTATGAATTTCATAATGATGATGAGAGTTAATAACTATTTCCATATGTCACACAAAATAAACCACAATTACAGCTATCAAAAATACAGTAGCAAAAATGCATCTGCATGGATTATTTTATTTTCCTTTCTATTATCTTTCCCTAGGTATAAAAGAGCTGTTACATTGTGGTAGAGTTGCATTTGAATTCTGTACTTACTATTACTGTTTTTTAAGTGACTGTTTTGTTTCAGGGTGATATGTTTGTTATATAAAGTAAAAAAAAAATTCTTGTATTCGTCAGTACTCGCCAAAAATTAGAGAATCCACTGAGAAACTGAATGCTACCTGAGAATTATAAAAATAATGTCAAACTGCATCATAAACTGCCTTTCTATACAATAATTTAAAATATAAACTGTAATTTATTACACCAGACAGTTCTTAAGTACAAGAATATGAAGTAAAAGAAACCCTAAAGTTTTCCATGACAATAGTCATCACAACATATTAGTCTCATATCATCTTGCAACAAGATTACAGATGCATCCCCCCCCCAGATACTATCTAAGCTTTATAAAGCAGGGCACATTAACTATTACATGGAAACATTTTTACATCCACATTTCTATCTCTGCTATTGTGCATATATTACAGCTAAAAATGCTTCACTGTCGGACAGAAACAAATTCTCATATTCTGTTACTTCATTAATCCAAGTGAATGATACATATCAAAATTATTTTGAATGGCTAGGTATTACTAAATGATTACTAAATGGGGGTAGGGAATGTTTTATTCAGCACCATTTTGTATGGTACAATAGAAGTACTATTAAAAACAATTTAGAAGGAGGAAAAGTCTTGAGCAAAGTAAAATCATGAAACAATATATAAAACTGGGCTTTAATTTTTATTGGTAGAGAAGACTAGTGGATAATAAAATTTGACATTTTTAAACCTACTTTCAGATTATTTACTTTATTTTGCTTTTTTACAGTTTTGGGTATGACAGCTCAGCAATGAATCTTGCATTATAGGAAACATTGAATTTTTCCCATTAAACAAAATTAAACAACCTGCTTAAACAAAACTATTACTCATACAAAATTTGCTTACACAAAAATTAAGAAACTTGCTAAAAGCAGGATTTTCCAAGCATAAAAATTAGGCAGTTTGTTTAATTTATTAAAAGGAGCATTTTCTAAGCATTAAAATTAAGCAGCTTGTCTAATTTCTTAAAAGCAACATTTTCAAAGCATTTCTTGAATGCATAATAAATGCTGCCCATAGAACAGTATATTATAATCAGATATTTGGGTCAGCTAATCAAGAATAAACAAAATAAAAGTTTACAATCTAAGTTAGCAACTTTGGAGAAACGTTTTACAGTGTGAAATGAGTCTATTATTTTAAATAAAATCTCACTGCATTAAAAAAAAATGTTTGTTTACTATTTCCATGATTATGACCCAGAATAAATATCCTACTCAGTAGTCCATTGGTGAAACACACATTTTGAAAATCTTCTTTAAAGTTATTTTCATCAACAAAATAATAATGTATATTTTATTATTTACTCTAAATGCAAAATTTTAGTCAAATTTAGTGAAGTACATATATGATTTATTCTTATTTTAAATGTAAGAATTAAATTAACTTAAGTGTTAGTATAAATATCATTAAAATATATCTTACAGAAAATTTTATACACAGTCATGTAGCTTACTGGTCAAGTGACTAAAGCTGCAAAATGCTTGCAGTTTGCCCAATTCTAAATTTACAGAACTTGGAACTGCTGGTTGTATGGGGTTTCTGTGACTTTGCAATAGATGTGAACCTTGAATAAAAATAAGTTCAGTTTCATTTAGGAAGTCAAAGTTCCTTCAAGAAAGCATCCATCCTCTAAGCAGACAGTTCTTGAACATCTTACTGAAATTAATTAACCAAACATACATACATAACAAATTCCTCCTTGAATTTATAATGCTATTTTTTTTAAACTCCTCCACTTTCTTAGGCTAGTTTATCTGCTTACTATTCCAGCCACCCTGCATCAACTGCTTTCTTGAGAAGTATTTATAAAGATTTAATCTTCACTTATTGAGGAGTATTTAGAAAAGATTTATCTTGACTTTTTGAGAAGCATTTATGAAGGTTTTACCTTCACTTATAATTCACAGTCTTAATCATTCGTTTTTTCCACATATGCTTTGCATTTACTTTCATTTCATTCTCATCTCCATATGCAAATAGTAAATAATACAGTAATTACAAAGATGGAAAATATTATAATAAAAATTAACAAAGTTTACAAGGTTAGTTTCAATGGCTTTAATTGCATGTTTTTTAGACCCAATAAATGATACTTTACATATGACTACATGCATTAGGAATGATTATCAGAAGTTTTAACTTCAACTAATCTTGAGTGTATTATTAGTGCCATATAATCATGGAAGATAATTTTACATATCTTTATATATTCAGAATTATACCAAAGATATTTCTAGCACTACAAACAGCTAATTGATTAAAACAATTATTCAAAACGTCAGTTCCTTAAAAGTTATTGTTCTTAACAAAGCTTTCTGCTTATTTATTATCATTTTCAAACTTTTGAAAAGTTTCTTTTCTGGAAATGAGATTTTTTCATTAAAAATAAACAGAATACTTCTGCTTGAACTTTTCTATTATTTATCAGCTATAAACTTTACCAGATTCTCTAACAGTTTAACTTTTAAGATATTTTCTCTTCTATTAGTAAAATTCAATGATTTAGGGCTTAAAAAACTTCTTTCTTATCTAAATTCCAAGATCATTGACAGTATCTCTTAATAATAAGGCTTACAATACCTTTGGCCCAAAACTAAGAAAACAAATTACAAGTTCAGAAAAAGAAAATGTTGACAACTGATAAACACTGATAAAGTTAAGTCTGATGAAGAAACTATAGGAATATTTTATAAATTTAGTTGAAAAAAATTATAAATAATTTCCTAATACTTGTTCTTAACGTGTACTTATTACTTTTGGCTTTAGCTGATCAGCAAATAAAGCCAAAATTTACTTGTATCTTTTTATTACAAGGATTAGGAGAATAACAAAATTATAAATATTTGTTATTTGGAAAAACTAGCCCCTACTGCCTTGCACAAAACAAGCCATGCAGGGAAAATCCATGTAGAAGTTACATGATTAACACATTGCAAGAATGACAAAATTGCATTTTGCAAAGTTAATTTCCTATGGAAATTGGTTAGGTGCAGTTCAGATCAAGAAAGGAATGAATAATTTACACAATCTTAAATATTACTGTAATTAAAAGGAAAACTTGAAATAAATGTTGTCTGAAAGGATTTCTTATATAGACTTCTTTAATCATTTTATATAGTTTTCCCCTGGCTGCCGAGATATTTCGAGTACTTTTTGCTTGTCGAAGTTATTGGAAGGCATATGAGGTACAAATGATGCTACATTTACACAGCTCATCAATTACAATAGCCATTATACAGGAAACAGAACAAAATGTCACCAAATGGTAGCCAAGTTTGGCGGCTTTTGGTATTTTCTCACCAATTTAGTGAGATAAGACATTTACTCAGTGTTAAATAGACTTGCCCCTACATTCTTATTTTTCAGGCATAGTGTCTTCTTTTTCAAGTATTTCTTATTACATTATACAAAAAATATTACAATTTCACATATAATTTTATTTAAATTATTTACTTATGTACAAAATCTGTAACAATATTTAATATAGAAGATTTCATCAACATGACATATTTTATATAAAACAGTAATAGTAAAGACTAATTGAGAATTATTTATTATTATTATTTTGTTATTCTATCAAACATTAATTATTCAGTTTTCTTTCATGAAGAAAAACTTAGAATATTAGGCAAAATGCAGTTTTCTGTGAATGAGTTATTACCTCTATTTTAATCCTTGATGCTTCATTTTTCATAGCTGCAACATCTGCAGTGGGCACATTTAAAGAACTTGCATCTGTATAAATGCCTAATGCTTCCTCATATGCTGTACCTGCTTCAGTGTTTGCATCTTTGGCTAACTGCTTTGTTCTCTGCATAAAGTCAACCAAATCGTCTAACCTGCAAGAATGAAGTTTAAAAATTTTAGTAATTTTGCTCAAACAAGCTACTTATTTCCTCACAGAAGAATTATTTAAAAAGTTACATTAAAATATAAAAGAGTGACATATGTCATACAGTGAAAACTCATTGATATTCAAATTACCAGCAAAATTATTTCTCAGTTAATAAATTTTGATTGACAAACATTTTTTAGCAATTCTTCCCATACTTAATGAATCTAATCTAATTAAATGCAACTACCTCAATGTTCAAATTGCATGCATGAGTATTAATAAAGCTGCCAATAACCATTAAAAAAATCAGTACTTTTCATTTTTCAAAAAGTATTTTTTATTTCTGATTAACATTTGGATCATTTATTTATTTATGTACATATAAAGGAGTACACAAGAACAACAAAAAATATTAAGCTATTATATTATACTTTACAATGCCCATTTTAAATTCCTTCACATTGTTTTGCATCAGTATCAGTAAACTTTTTTTCAATGCTTTGACAATTACTGGAAATAGGGAAACGGTTTTCACTTGCTAGTGCCTCTTAATGTTATGTGCCCTTAATGGCATTATGCATGATTAGCTTTGGTAAGTAATACCGCCCTACATCAGGCCATATAAAAATATATCCATTAACACAGCAATTGAAATAGTTTTGGAATATTTGACATGTAATGTTTCAGCGTAACAATGTATTTTCTTGTACCTCATTCATATTATGCAACTGCTTTTCGAGAGCTTTCTTTAGCCATGGGAAAAGGAAAAAGTCAACTGAGCAAGAAGATTTCATGAGTAAGACACAAGCATCATGTTCGTTTTCTCTAAGAATTGCCAGATGAGAAGAGTTTGTTCAGATATCTGCTGAATTGTCTTTTGATGATTTTCATTAGTAATCTACTGCACTTTTTCAGTATTTTCATCATTTCTGTTCTTCAATCGATAGTCATGGTATAGCAGTCTTCATTTGACGTGTTGCCATATTTGAAAAGGTAAAAGAACTTCTGCATTTGTGATTTACTCAAAGGTTTACTTAAGGTTACTCAAATGCTACTTGCGATTTACTTCCTCTTTGGTAGACAGACATTAGAAATCCTAAGGTGACCTACCAAACGACATGTTTCATAAAAAAAAAAAAAGCCTGCTTGCAATGCCCTCATTTTGAAGTACTCTTACATAAGCATTTCAAATCACATACAGTACAAAGTCTGTAATCCGGACGTCTATTATCCGAAATGATCTATAATCCGGACCTCAAAGCCACAAACTTTTTTTTTTCTGTATGCTTTACGCAATGTTTATGCATGCAAGTTTAGCACAAAAAACGAAGCAACTTAAACAACTTACATTGAAAGAAATGTTTAATAAAGTAAACAAATAAATATTGAGTTTTTTTTTTTTTTTGTAAATTTTGATACCTTTTAGATCATAATTGCTCTTTATTTCATAAATTACGGTTTCACATTTTTAAGTATAACTTCTGCATGCCATCTTACCAGATTTAAATTGATGATCTATAATCCGGAATCGTCAAAATCCCCAACGAGTCCGGATTACAGACTTTGTACTGTATAAACAAAATAATCACAACATTATAATGTTTTTATTTTACATTTTTATATAATAATATATTTTTAAATACTTTACTACTTTGTAATATATCTGAAGAACTGGCTTTAAATTCTGCTTCTATACTTCAGTTTAATGAACAGCATGAAAAAGAAATTTCACAGTAAGTATAGCCAAACAAACTGCTTCATTACCCACAGCAGCCAGCTAACTCATGGTGCTTAAATCTTTTAATGGAATGTATGACTTAAGCTCCTGCTTTTTATATTACAATAATTTGCCATCAAATAATGAGTCATATAGTAAACAGTAAACAAAGTAATTTACTTTTGATAAGAAGAAACAAAAAGACTAATATTGATGATTTAATCAAGCAAGTAAATTACATAGTAAACATATCTGAATTAAAAATATCTCTCTAATTTCTAATTTTTTGGGATACTAAATTTTCGAAGTCAAGAAAGAAGGCTTAAAAATAATAATAAATCCATACCATACAGAGTGGCAAAATTTTGTGTATCCAAAAACACACCCATATTTTCCATTGTTAAGGTAGCATTGGTTTACACACTTCGGATAATCAGACTGATGTTATGTGCTATAAAAACCTGATTGCAACTGCATAAAATATTTATAAAAGTAACAGTAATAAGGATATAATTTAATTCGTAACATAAGGACAAAAGGCCCTTTTTGTCCATTGAAACTCTTTGTTCAGATATTTATTTATAATTTTCAGCAGAGAGTGCCAGACATTTTTTCTAGCCTTAAATGCACATAAAACATTTCTTTCAGTATCAAGTCTTTCAATCTAACAAATATTTCTTTTCTTCAAACAAAATCTTATTTTGCCAAATTAATGATAACTGCTTATATACTATTAGTAGCTACCGACCTTCAACTAAAATCTAGGAGGTTTTTCACACTTTATAATAGTCACTTAGATGTTTAAACTAGTTATAATTAAGCTCTCAAGTAAAATATATAAGCTTAATATTTAATACAATATTTTCAATTTAAATTTTACTTAATTTTTTTTGGTTTAATTCATCAGATTTTGCAATTTTAAAATTTTATGCTGATGACAACATCAGCAGGAAAAAATTGTTTTCAAACAAGGCAAAAGTTAAATTAGTAGCTATTCTGCAAACAATCATGTTAATAAACTTATCTGTGTACTATTGACAAATTTAAAGCAAAATTAAATATTAATATCTTCAGCTCAAATAGAACTTAATCAGAGAAATCAGTAGTAAAAATGGGAACAGGTTTAGTTTTAAATTTCTTGAAGGCATAATAATGCATTAAATAACTTCATATTTTTGAAAAGCTTGTTATGAAACTTTTCTTCATAACATTTCCTTTTCATTTAATGCTTAATGATCAGTAATTTTTAAAAAATTCATTTGAAACTCAGATAAATTTAAAAACCAGGAGATGAGATGAAAAATCAGGAATCTTAAAAATGAGAAAGCTGGAAGCTCTGTATATAATACTTATATTATGGACTCTCATTATGGACTTATTACTAATATTCAATGCTAATAAGTCTATAGAAAAGCAAGACCTGTCAGCTTGCAAAATCACCTTCACAGCTAAACTGAACGATGCATAGCCACATCTGCATCAAGAAACTTTATACTGGAAATAATAAAAATGAATTACACACTTGCCTAAGTTAAATATAGAATAGGTTAACAGTGTAAAATTAACCTCACACAAGTTTTTAGCTGACTAGGAAAGTTTTGAAGTAATTTATTACTAATTAAATATGCTATCATATCAGGAAAAATATTAATGAAAAAATTTCAAATAACTTAATTTTATCATTACAAACTTTGCATTATGAAGTTATCATATCATTATGAAGTGTAACTACATATAACTGAAATAGCTAAAAGCATAATTAAATATTTTTGAATGCTTAAGGAACTTACTTTCGACCAAGGTCATAAACTTCATTGCTCATCCTTTCTTGAGAATCAACTGTTTCTCTGGCTAACCGATAAGCTTCTGTAGAGGTATTCAATGCCAGATTTGAAACAGTGTCACTTACTTCTGCATCTTCTTCTTGCCTAAATAAAGATACAATATAACAACAATTCATTCAAGATCACAATATTCAATAAAATAGAAAAATCACAATGACATAATATGTACTAATCAAATACATTAAAAGAAGCAGTAAACATTTTGAAATTTTATATTTACATTTCATGTTCTTATTTTAAATCTCACAGTTAAAATCTACATTAAAAAATAATATATTTATAATTAAGACACAATAACATGCCGAATAAATACTAATTCTGAATTAGTAATATATTTATATTCTATCATAATAGTAAAAAATTCTATTTGTGTCTATCGCAGAATTGATGTTTTTGCATCATCATATCTTAACTCGTACAATGAAATGTATTTGCATTTTCCATGCAAAACAAAATTCTATCCTTTATGCAAAACAAAATTCTATCCTTTCAATTAATATGATTAAATTTCAATGACCTTTAATTTTTTATTAAAAAATTATTTGTTATTATCTTTTGTTTTCCTAAATTTTTAACAACAATGTCTATTATATTACTAATAAAATATGTAAATGACCAAAATTGCAATTTTCTTTAGCATTTTGAGTTTTAATTCAAAAAACAGGAGCTTTATCTATAATAGTCCTATGAGGCAGTTCTGATTAAGAAATAAAATGAAAAGCATCCCACAAGATTAATTCTTAAATTTAACAATTATATTGTTATGATATAATTTCATATTATGGAAATTATTTTACGGTTTTTAGAGTGGAAGCAGCCTAGCTTAATAAACTGGAAATTTCCTCATCTGAAGTTCTGTAGTTTTAAGAATAGCACTGTAACTTTTAAGGTTTTATGAATAATTAAATAACATACATATTACATAGTATTCATGGCTCCGTGGTTAATACATAGTTTGAAAAATTTTCTATGATATGGTAATGGCTTTTATTTATTTTTTTATACTTCAGAAATGATGATAAATGCTTTATTATATGATTTCGATGATAATATATGCTTTATAAGTCTTATAAAAGTTTTCTCTTGTAGTGTAGTTTGTAGTTTCGATTGTAAATACCATTTGCATTAAAATAAATTAAATGGATGTAAAAATTTATTGCATTTATTATGTTATCTATGCTGCAATAGCCTGAAATCTGTATCCAAAGGTTTCTGTACTCCCTTCAAATCCAACCATTACACATTTAGCTTCTTTAAATTTTCCACATCATATTTTGCTTTAATGAACATTAGATCCAGTCTATATAGGTGTCTATTTTTGCTGATTTCTTTCAATCATTTGAAGCCGTTTTTCACTTTTAATGCCAATTTACTCATTTCCTCCTACCCACTTTGAAAAGTATTTTTTATCAAGTACAGGAAGTTTCCATCAAAAAATTTTGTTTCTTCAGTGTTAGCTTTTGATATTTTTTACTGCCCAATTGTTGAGAGGAAAATTTATTGTTTGTAATACACTCTCCAAAAAACTAAATGTGTGTACAAACAAAAGTTTTGTCTCTTATTTCAATCATAGTCATCGCTGTGATCCTGCTTTAAGGCAATATAGTGTTATAATGGCACTCTACTTGCAAATGCTAGTACTAGTACTTCTGGCACTGAAAGCATTATAGGACTTCGGGCTGAGGTTAATACTTTCAGAATTAGGCATTCTGTATTGTATTCAACTCTCAGTAATAAATTTTGGTTTGCCTTTTATACTTTTTAAAACTCTCATATTCTTTAAATAAGCCCCCTTTTTTGGTAATCTGTAAGCTTACTTATTTTTGTTTATGTGAATTATTTAACAGAATTCATATCAGAATTTTTATAGCACATTTAATAATTTCATAAGGTTTAAATACTGAAAACAATATATATTATAAATTTTTACACTTCTATTTTAATTATAATGGACATACAGATGCATTTCAATATTAAAAGCATTATAAAAAATTACATTGGTAAATCTCAAAACATGTTTTTGCATGATGAGGCCACACTGCCTACAGCAAGCCTAAATCTTCTTGTGATATATTGCACTGTTTTGGTTTTTCCCTTTTTCCAACCAAATTTTATAATACCGTAATTTCGCGCGTATAGTCCGCGGACTATCTGTGTTTAAAATGCGAATTTTTGAAGCTGCGGACTATCCACCAGTGCGGATAATACGCTGGTTGTTCACGGTTAAAATTGTTGAAATTTAAAAAACACGCTGTCGTGAACTGCCGATGATCAAATATAAAAAAAGCGTGAGATTCCAAGTATCCTTCGCACTGCTTTAGCACAACTGCCGGGAGGGGGAAAAGTAGTTGATGCGTCAACTCGGTTTATAGGAGCCATAGTAGCAAGTACCTGGAGTACGAAAAAAAAAAGCGTGATTCGTTTACTTATAGCGTGGTTTGGCAACACCGAGTGAGTGGAGTCGAAGGTCACATTTCATTACCACTTATCAGGAGGATAGCATGTTGCACAGTATTTTGTTTTCGTATTTTGTCTTTCATCTTTGCTAACGTTGATGAAACATCGCCCGAGATTTACTGCTGAGAGGTAGTTGAGAAAACTGAAAAAGATGGAACTAGAGAAGCGGGCCGTTATTGGTTTAATCCTAGTACCCGGTGCACACGGGATTTGACTACTTTTGGCGACTTTATGATGAGCAGTAAAAACGGGACATACACGATGAGTAGTTAAGGTTAACAGGTCATTCAAAGAAATATATAGTTAAACATAGTAATATACTATTTATATAGCATATATACTATGCGTGTGTATAGTATATATATACGTTCTTGGATCATTTTTGGGTGTGGCGATAATTTTCAAAGTCGCGCCAAGGCTGCACCGTATACTAGGATTTTACTCCGTTATTTTGAAGTGGACAAGAAGCGGCGAGAAATTTGCGCAAACAAAGGATGTGTTTTTAAAAAGCATGGGAATATTGCCGTATTAAAAAACGTAATTTCGGATGTATAGTCCGCGGACTATCCGGTGGTGCGGACTATCTGACAATTTTTAAATTTTTTTTTTATATAAAATCGTGTCTGCGGACTATACGATGGTGCGGACTATACGTGCGAAATTACGGTATTTTATCTGATTCTACTTCTTGCTGTGGATGGTATATATTTAGGATATTTGTGGATGGCATATATTTAGGAGAATAACAGTCTCTATAATAATATTGAAAATAGATAATTAAACAATCCATACACTGACAGAATTAACTAATCTGTACACTAATGTTGAAACTAACCAATTGAACAATATGTATACTGATGTTGAATTTTGAGAATCACTCAGCTCAATATTCCTTTCATATAGCTCCATTCTACAGATCAGAATCAATGCATTCAGACATCAAAAAGCTGAAATGTTCATTATTTACTATCCGGTGGTGCGGACTATCTGACAATTTTTAAATTTTTTTTTTATATAAAATCGTGTCTGCGGACTATACGTGCGAAATTACGGTATTTTATTTGATTCTACTTCTTGCTGTGGATGGTATATATTTAGGATATTTGTGGATGGCATATATTTAGGAAAATAACAGTCTCTATAATAATATTGAAAATAGATAATTAAACAATCCATACACTGACAGAATTAACTAATCTGTACACTAATGTTGAAACTAACCAATTGAACAATATGTATACTGATGTTGAATTTTGAGAATCACTCAGCTCAATATTCCTTTCATATAGCTCCATTCTACAGATCAGAATCAATGCATTCAGACATCAAAAAGCTGAAATGTTCATTATTTACTATTAAATTTATGATGATTCAATGTTTACACAAGTAAGTTTTCAGAACAGTAATAAAATTTCTGTAATAATCTGGTTTGATTAGGTTTATTTGGCTATGGTAAAGCCCACTAGGGCTATCTGCACAAGGGAAGAGATGCTCTTGTGGAGGGCATTCTAAGGGAAACTGGTTTGAATCTACATTACAGACAGGGAAAACCACAAATGGCCCATGCAACCAACCTGTTCACCTGAAATTGCACCCTACTACCAATGTTCAGCGATCTTACCACTTGACCACTGGTAGTCTTTCAATAATCTGAATGTATTCTAAATATTTCATTTCTCATTACTGTTAAGAACTTCTCACTAAATTTATGGAAAACATTCCTAAATGCATTTTATTACAAATAGCATTCTAATTTAATTATATAAACTTACTGATCAGCCAATTGCCTTGCTTCTCTTGCTATTTCGGATAATCTTTGAGACTGCTGGCCCAGACGATCCTTCCTATCTAGTGCAGAATCATAGGCAGCCCTTGCTTGCTCATTTAAATATTTACGAGCAGCAGCTGCAGCATCCTGGGCTTGTTTAATCACATTTTCTGCTAATGATGTATTTTGAAGACCATATCTACGATATTCTTCCCCATCATCTAGTCTTTCTCTTACTTTTCCAGCAGTGTGCCCAATTTCTCTTATTCGTTTGCGAAGGTCATTGAGTTGACTGATTAAACTCTTATCAGCAACTATATTAAATTCAAATGTTTACAAAAAATTACACTGAATGAAGGTAAAAAAGGAAATTTCTCATTATAAGATAAGATAGGCTATAATAAATCAGTTAAATTAATAGTACTCAATTAAGCCAATGCAACATAATATAAGTTTATAACTATGGTAAAATTAGGCTGAAGAACATTACTCTGGATTAATTTCATCTCAAAAGTATCATAATAAATGAACAAAAATATCATAGCAAAATGTTTATATTACAAATGAGTTTAAATAAGTGTCAGACTGCAGTTAATATCTCAAACCAATAGCACAAATTAAAATGAAATATATACTTAAGATTCGAAACTTGCCACACTTTATAATATAAATAAATGTGTAAGCAAAAGAAAAAAAAAAAAGGGTCTGGAAAAAAAGATCTTTTAAACTTTCATAACAAATGCTGACATAAGAAAATAAAAGTCACATATTTTTTCTCTCTTTCCGAAGAATATCAGTTAGTATCCCCAGCATGTTCTTTTGTAGTTATGACATAAAATGATGCAAATGTACTACTTGGACATTTTACTACAGTGATGCCTGTTTCCATTTTTTAGAGGTCATTCTCTTTTATTATAATTGTGATTTTAAATTATGTTTTAAATTAAAAATGCTTAACTGATAAAGATATAAGGATATAGACAGATATTTATCCGATGAATGCAGCAATAATGAAGAAGCAAAACATTACAAGTATTTTTTCAAGATTCATGAAAATGTGAATGATAGAAATGCCAAACTTAATAATCACAGCAATAATTCTAAAACCATCTTATCTGATGATACTTTTGCAAGTGATGATAATTTCTACTCAGGTGAAAGTAAAGTGGAGAGAAACAAAAGTGCAACACTTTGAAAGTGATACAAAAGAATATTGCAAAAAAAGTAACAGGACCTCCTAAAGAAATGAAATGAAACATTTCTGAAAATAATTGATAGCAGATTAATTGATGAAATAGGAAAAAGCAGTGGTCAACATGCTGAATGCATATATCCAATTTATAGTCTAATCCAGTGGTATTCAATCTATAGATTATGACTCCAAAAAGGGGTGGAATGTGGATGAAAAAATTGTAAGTAAATTTAATTGAATACAAATACATGACTGGCAGACGTTTTGAGAAAACAATTTAATTTTTAAATTGTGAAATTTTAGTAAATTCTACAGCACTTATTCTCTGTTAGAACAATGACTTCAAAGATATATTTATAGTTAAGACACAATAACACGCCGAATAAATACTGATTCAGAAGTCAAACAACAAAAATCAGCGTTAAATCACAAAATTTTCACAGGACTAGTTTCGATGGTTTTACCGAACCATCATCTTCAGCTGCAAAACCGCAAATGAACAAGATAGGAAATAATGTTTAGATAATAAAAAAGCCTGGACAAGAATAAGCAAGTGGCGCCATCTGTTGGCGAAACCAGAACTAAAACATAATTTCTCTAAAAAGCCGAAGGCAAATTTGGATTGGAATTAGGATCGTTAACTAGAACAGAAAGATTTTTATGAATGTGAAATGCCTCTAGAAAATCCAGTTCTCCATGGAAGATGTTTTTTTGAATAATTTTGGCAGCAGAAAAATTGAAAGTGTGATTTTCGGACCACACATGTTGAGCAACAGAAGACTTCTGTGTTTCCTTTTTTCTAACATATGCCTCATGTTCTTTGACGCGAAATTTTAGGCTCTCTTAGTTTGGGCCAATGTAAATTAAACCGCACTGGCAGGAATCCTATAAAACCCCAGGAATTTCATATCCGGAATGGGTCCTTGAGTATAGAAGTTGGAATTTATTGTGATAACATTTACACCATAAAAAATTCAATAGAGTTTTGTAAAAAAGGTTAAAAAACATTTCTCCTCGTAATTTACTCATGGTTTCTTTGATGTGTAAAAATCATTATTCACCAATGTCCCAGTGGAGGGTGCATTAAGATGTCTAGAAACCAGACTTCGCGAATTTCATTCTCTTGCATCGAAATTGATGAGCTAATTTCTCTCTCACTCAACTCTGTTTGAAACAAACACATTTTGTTTTCCAAAATAAATATTACAAGCAAACTGAGGGATTAGCCATGGGAAGCCCCCTCAGTCCCATCCTGGCTGATATCTACATGCATTATTATGAATCAAAATTGTTTGAAACTTTAAACTTCCCGGCATGGTTCCGCTACGTAGACGATACTTTTACCCTGTTTGAAGGTAATAAAGATGATTTAAATAGAGTTCTTTCAACAATGAATTCTATTGATCCTGCTATTCAGTTCACTTTTGAACTTGAGACTTGCAATTCTCTTCCGTTTCTCGACATTCTGGTCACACGTAACACATCCAACTTCAGTACTTACAGTTACCGTAAACCTTCATCGGTTTGCCTTCCACCACACTTTAAATCATGTCATCCGACTAAACAAAAGTTAGCTTCATTTTATTCCTATGTTTCCGTGCTCTTCAAGTTTGCTCCTCCAAACTAGCCCTTGATGAAGAGAACTAAATTATTTTTTAAAAGCAATAGCTATTGACAGGGGCTTTTCACCCAAATTATTAATCAAGCAGTTAAAAAATTCTCATCTCAACACACTAAAAGCCACACTCTTATTTTAGGAGATTATAAAAATTCTGTTGTCATTCCCTTCTTCCATCAATTAGCTATAAAGTTGCACGTATTTTGCAGAAATTTAACTTTCGGTTGTGTACTCTCCCATCAATAAAATTCCAACTTCTATACTCAAGGACCCCATTCCGGATATGAATTCCTGGGTTATTTATAGGATTCCTTGCCAGTGCGGTTTAATTTAATTTACATGGCCAAACTAAGAGAGCCTTAAAATTTCGCGTCAAAGAACATGAGGCATATGTTAGAAAAAGGAAACACAGAGAAGTCTTCTGTTGCTCAACATTGTTGGTCCGAAAATCACACTTTCAATTTTTTGCTGCTGCCAAAATTATTCAAAAAACATCTTCCATTGGAGAACTGGATTTTTTAGAGGCATTTCACATTCATAAAAATCTTTCTGTTCTAGTTAACGATCCTAATTCCAATCCAAATTTGCCTTCGGCTTTTAGAGAAATTATGTTTTAGTTCTGGTTTCGCCAACAGATGGCGCCACTTGCTTATTCTTGTCCAGGCTTCTTATCTTATCTAAACATTATTCTATCTTGTTCATTTGCGGTTTTGCAGCTGAAGATGATGGTTCGGTAAAACCATCGAAACTAGTCCTGTGAAAATTTTGTGATTTAACGCTGATTTTTGTTGTTTGACTTCTGAATCAGTATATATTTATAGGTCTTTGATTTTATCATTAGCTGTAAATATCTCTTTGAAGATATTTATAACTTTCTTTGCAACAAAGAAAATTTATTTGTGGTGCTTATACTGCAAGGAGATTAATTTTGCAGCATTTCCTACTTTAGAAGATTTTGTTATAGTACACAAACTAAAAGTTGATCAATCACTTATTAAAGATCAATCAGTTATAATTTCAATATTAATCTTTCAGAAGACTTTTCTGACTTCAATGACTTGAATGTATTCAAAATCCCTTTCAGTGTGTATTACTCAATTACTTAAACATCAGTAGGTGAAAAACTAACTGAGTTATCATTTGAAGGAGAGTTAAAATTTGTTTTCAAAGAGTTTGGAAGGAAAAGGTTTTACCTTAAAGTTTGAAATGACTACCTAGAACTGTCTGATGCAGCTCTAAAGGTTGAATTTTTGCTTTGTTTTATTTTATATCTGTGAGATGAAATTTTCTCAATTTCTCTATCTGAAATCTAAATATCGAAAGAAATTAGCAGTATAGCCTACTTTAAGATTAAGCAAAATATAGCCAGAAATATCCCTACTTGTAAGCAAGAAGCAGGCTCATATATCTCATTAAATCCTTTCCTTTTGTAATTCATTTAAGCTGATGTTCTGTCATGCTTTAATTTTAAATTATAAATGATTAACGTTAGTTGATTTTTAAACTAAATATTTGGTAACTACAGAGTTGATTTTCAGTTTAGTGTACTTGCTTTGATACTAATGTTTGTTTTCTATGAAATAATAATAAAAAAAATTAACATCATCCCAATTTTTAATATAGTGCTAGTTTTTGAGCAATTAGAACCAGATTATATATTATTTTAATTCGCATATTACTTCCACATCCTAAGTGGGGTTGCACTGCCAAAAGGTTTGAATTTCACTGGTATAAGTTATTTTCATAAAATGTTCATAATAAAAGAAGCTTCTTTGATAAAAAGTCACATATTTTATGTCTTACGTACTGTTATGTTTTTTTCTGACACCAGTAGTTATGTTTTTCTCTTTTCTTCTGACACCAGTTGTTACGTTATTTTCTTCCTTCACATTCATACGGGGTTCGTGTGGATTTGGAGTGAATAACGACGACGCTTAATGAAGTATTGAAACACACTTTATCAGTCAGTATTGTTAGGACAGCTCCAAAACACGCTTTACAGTCGTCAATGAACTACTATAAACATGCTGGAACAATCAGCGACACAGCATTCACACTGTCAGGCAATAACGGTGGAGATAACTTCCTGCAAAGCACCAGAGTACAGCTTCGGACTCTACTTGGTCGTTCTCGGAACTCTACGAACTCTCAAGACTCTCTACGCTAAACTCACGATGCACTCGACGACACACGAGCACAGCTCTGACTTTTCGGTTCAGTCGTTCCCGGAGCTCAACATGCTCTCTCGACGATGCACTAACCATGATACACTAAGAGACTCCTTCAGTGCACTCGACGACCCACTCAGCACTTGTTGCCCGTCTGTCAACTCGATCGACTCCACATGGTTCGCTACACTAACTCTCTGAGACGCACTAACTGACTGTGGACCAACAGGGTTTATATAGCTTTCGGCTTGTGTTCGAGAACATTCTGGGCCAAACCGGTAAGAACTCGTTCCAAAAGGTTCTCCATCCATCCATGGTATATCGCCAATTTTGTTGCCAAATGGGCGATTTTTCGCCGAATGTGGCAACCCTGCCTTATTGTACTATTTTAAGCCAACCCTAAACCTGCTTTGCTGGGAAGCTATCTCACCGCGTCTGTACATTTCGTAACAATACTAAGAAAACAGATTCATAAAAATAAATCAACTAATTTTGTAAAGAAAGAGTACAATTTAAAAAATGACTCACATAAAGAAGAAATACAAATAATTTGCAACATGCTTTATGTTGGAAAACTATAACTTTGCAGTAAAAAATACAATATGCCAGGTGAATATTTATGTAACAAAACTTTCTACATCTCAAAGAAATTTAATCATTAAAAAATAGCAATGGTTTGATTTGGTTTGGTTTAGCTGATTATGACAAAGCATACTAGGGCTATCTGCCTAAGGAAAGGCATGCCTTCGTGGAAGACTTTCTAAGGAAAACTGGCTCGTATACATGTTACACATGCGGAAAACCACAAAAATGCCAGTGTAAAGAAAGTAATAGATATCATATAAATGTAAAAATCCACTTGCCGTGGTGACAAACAATTCATCAAGAAATCCTTCCCCCTTTTTAGTTAGCAATTAATAGTCAGCAAAGTTGATTTTGACATAAAACCATCATTACATGTTTTCAAACTAGCATATGAAAAACTGCTTTCATTAATCTTGAAATAGGCCACATTAAAAAGTTTTTATAAATTATTACATGCTGCCATTCATATTATTTATACTGTTCAAAAGTTATTCTCTAAAGAAAACCAAAGTTATTATTCCTAACTTTGATTCCTGCAAATGTTCAGTAACCTAAATGATGTTCTGAATTCAATGAACTTTCTTTTTCTTCTTTTTTTGCTATTTGTTTGAAAGGAGGGGGGATACTAAAAAAAATGGGATTAACCCTCATACATTGATTTCAGACAACCACAGAAAGCCTATATCTGCACTGCATAATTTTGGGGGGGGGGAACTTTTCTCCAGGGTTCATAGCCACATTTTAGTTAAAAAAATAAGCACCTATAAGCACTTTTCAAGCACATTTTAAGAAAAAAATAAGCACTTGTCTAATTACATTATACACAACTGCACAACCTTAAAAATTAGACTTGTAATTTAAAATAATGAGAAATGCAGTATTTATTAAGAGAGAATAAGCATTACCTCAACCATGGAAAATAATTACTTTTTTTTTTTTAAATTTTAAATAACAGTTCAATTTACAGAACTAGTTTACAATGAGAGGGAAAAAAACTATGCAGAACTAAACTATATTACAAGATTTAATGATGAAATTTCAGTTCAAAATAGAGAAATAAATAATAATAAGGAAATATTATTGTATTCGCTTGGAACCTAATAATAAATACAATTTATTTTCCCACTCACATTGATATTTAAATAATTTAAATCTAAATTCTGAACATTTTCTAAATTTTCATTGTATATCAGTTTTCCCTTAACAGATATTGCAAGCAAAGTAATTTAAGTAAAAAAGAGGAACATTTCTGAAATCAGAAGACAGAAATTTGCTTCATGCAGTCATTCTTTAACAGTAAAAGCTTAACTAACCCGCATACTTGGAAATTGGCGAATATTCGGACAGTCGAGCATTACTTGAAAAAGAGGAGAGAAAGGGGGGGTAGACTGTAGCCGCTCTTTAGATTTCTACGCTAAATAAATGCTTTTGACATTTTGAGATGTGCATAATATAAAAATAAACCAATGGAACTAAAAAATATTCTGCTTAGCAAGCACAGTAAAACTCTTTTAAATGTTCATAAACAAATCTCGGACAGAACATCAAAATTAATTATCTCTGCAAAATATCGCAAACAATATTGCGCAATATGTGCACCGTAATTCTTCCCTGCGTGATATTACACAATCGGAATCAATAGCTGCCGGTATTGGGAGAATAAAGAACTAAATAACTGGGATGTTTTTCATTCTAATTTTCAACAGAAAGTGTTAAATTTCCGGAATAGAATCATTCTTCGCTCGGGTTGGTAGATCGCAGAACTTTTAGTCCTATTCAATCCAAATTTGGAAAGTGACAAAAAAAAAAAAAAAAAAAAAAAAAAAAAAAAAAGGTCCATTGCTTGTTTTGCAGCGAACTGTAACAGTTTCAATATTCTAGATTTTGTGGAGAAAGGGGAGAATCTCCCAATCTTCATACTGTATAATGTATTGGCAAAAAAAATGAAATTATTTTGACTATTCGATTACTTTCCCTTTATGTAAGCCATTCCGAATATTATTCCTTAGAAAGCTAATCTGTGTTAAAACACAACCATTTTTGGAAGTTTACTATACTTCAACAGTTACTGCAAACATGTTATTATAAACATTCATACATATGCTCATAATATAAGCATAATAATCATAATAAACATGAATATGAACTGACCAAGCAGAATGAGAATGCTAATTATTAAGATCTTGATAGAAATTCAAACGTGTGTAGTATTTGAGTGGGAGGAAAAGAATGCCGAATGTACCGGAATTTTCTACTGCTTTCGCAATTCTTTCACCAATGGAACGACAGGCACCTGTCTGTACTCTTTGTGCACACCAAAGGTTATGTTAATGCAGAGAAAGAGGGAAAAGCTATTTCCGGGAGTATGATTCACCATCTGACATTCCTATTAGGAAGGAAAAAATGTTGTTTATTTAGTTTTCGGCTTTGGTACGGGGAAAAAGGAAAATAGTGCGCTCATTAAAAAAAAGCACTAAAAAAGCAAACAATAAGCACTAAAACAAAAAAAATAAGGGCTTTTAAGAAAAAGTAAGCACCTATAAGGGCCTTTATATTTTATTTTCAAATATAAGGACTTATAAGCACTTAACAAGGACCGCTACGAACCCTGTTCTCAATCTTTGGATAATGTTTGTTCATATTGCATTTGTTTTTAATGCACTTTGCATAACACCTTTAAAAGATTTGCAGAGAAATGAAGTACAGCAATCCATATTTTTTCCAGATTTACAGTATTTTGCTAAAACGTCACAGATATTACAATTCTTAGGCAATGAAACTGTACAGTATGGAGGATATATGTATATATGATGGAAATATATATTTTCAAGAATGCTCAGATTTTAATTCAGAACTAAGTACTGATTTAATGTTAAAATACTTAATTAAGAAAGAATGATATCAAATATGATACAATTTTATGTGTATTTTAAAAGTAAGATACAAAATTAAAAACCAGCTGAATATTCAAAATGAAGAGCAGGGGAAAGATTACTGAAAAATTTTGAGAAGAGACAAGCATGAAAAATAATTAATCTTACATCATTCAAAATAAATCCAACAAATAAAAAGATAAAGATTACAAAACCATCATAACTTCAGTAAAAATTGAAATAAATTAAATCAAATAACATATAAAACAAGGAATTTTATTTCATTAACATCATGCAAATATAATATTTCAAAAACATACTTCCAGCTCTTCTGGCTTCTTCTAATAAGTTATCAACTTTCCTATCAGTTTCCCGCAATTTTCTTTGAAAATCAAAATCTTCTACAGTCTCTGGATGATTTTTCATTTCTTCCATAAGTTTAGCTAATTCAGTTAATTTGTCTTTGTAGCGATCTATTGCTTCTTCCAAAAGGGAATAGCATGGAGGGCAATCTGATATAGCAGGGGGAAAAAATTATGCACATCAGAATGCTTAATAAACTAGATAGTAATTATGAAATATATTTTTTTTAATGTGTAAATACATGCTCTAAAATACAAAATGATGTGATACTAAAAACAAAACAATGAATTAATGATTCGGCAAATGATACCTGACTTAATGAAATTAATTTTGAGAGATAAATCAGTACGAAAATAAACTACTTTACAAGTTCAGCAAATGTTTAAAAAATAACACATTTCATCCAAGATATTATTAATTTCTTCTTTCAGAATGCCAAAATGTAGATAAAACAGCTATATGCTGAAACTAATAATACATATATTAGGAATGAATAACAAGTATTAAAAATATTGCAATTTCTTAAAAACTGATCCAAATACACATGGTATTATTATATGCATTAGAATTACTGCAACGTAACATCAAATACAACAGTTTAAAATTCACATGCATTTAAAATATCTGTATTACCAATGAGAGCAAATTTTATTTTTCATTCTTGATATTTACTAAATAATTCCTCATATAAGTATTTTATGGGTATTTACAGAAATACAATAGGCACAAAGATAAATTTAGCTGCTATGAGTAACCTTTATAGCAATCTAACTGACTTGCATGTTATTATTTCTGATTGATGTTGCCTAGCCGTTACCTCCACTATAATATAACAGAGTTTTCATTTTAGTTAAAAAGCTCTCAACAACTTCACTTTCATATTTTTTTCTTTCGTTTCCTTCTTTTTAAGTTACACGAACTTTGTGAAGATAATTTCTCCAATCTAATACACTTTTATTTTCAAATCTAATACACCTTTCCCAATATAATACACTTTTTTATTTTATTAGTTTTACTACAAATCTTTCTGGCAAAGCTTAATTGATGTCAAGATCTTGAAATAATAGTAAATCAGTACATCAAAGTGTTAAATAGGACTAAGCTTTTTGAAAAAAACTGATAGATTACTTTCATCTTTTGGTAAATTCCATAAACTCTGAAGAAAACACCGAAATATTAAACATGGTGAAATTAACAGAAGAATTATTGAAAACTTTAATGAAATTATCAACGATTAAAAATATGGTTGCAGCAGGGATGCAGATATTTATTTGCAAGTTATTTGTAGTTCCCAATTTCAAATAATTAACAGTGCTCTTTCTTATATAACTGTTATATTGAAATAAAAAACAGGAATCCAAATTTTATATTATCCACATCAGGAGAGATAAGCTAATTTACTGAAAGAATTCAACAATACAAATTATGAAGATTTTTTTTACATAACAGACATTAAAAAATAAAAACACAGTGGGAATTCTTGCTAGTAGACATTCAGGGGATCACGGCTGTGTCTGGGCAAGTGCCTGTTAGCAGAGGTTTAAGAGCAAATAGTTAGTGAATAATTGCAGGCAAGATAAAAGATTAAACATTACTTTTTTCTACAATGAAAGGCTAAACTGTGTTTAGGTCAGATTAGATAAAGCCTCTAATAAAACTAAAAAAAGAAGCTGTAATAATTTTAAAACACAAATTATTACTTTGAGTATACAATTACAATGCTTAAAAATTATGCAAAAACATACAAAAATAATTTATAAATAAAACACATAAAACTAATGTAAAAAATTACCTATACAGACTGTACCCCTGCTGTATTTATTATCCATACATATAGAACATCGGCGTCCTTCCCTATGTGGTCTGCATTGACACTGACCAGCAGTGTCACACTGTAATGAAGTCGAGCCAGAAGGATCACATTCACATGCTGAAAATTTGAATGCATTTTGAAAAAAGCTTTCCTCAATACATCAAAAAAATATCCATTCTACTGAATAATAAAACAAATTCAAAGCAGAAGTTTGTAACAAAGGCATAAAGGTAAAACAAACAGTTACAGTATGAATATCTTGATACTTATTAAACTAGGTTACAAATTAAAAGACAAATAAGTACATTTCAATCAATTTAAAAATGCACAGACATTTGCATACCTTTACATCCTTCTTCAGAAAAGCCATAATGATATGGTGCACATGAATCACAATGTCGACCAACAACTCCTGGTCTACAGTAACATTGACCAGAACGTATATCACAGGTTTGATTATAAGATCCTATTCTATCACAGTTGCAAGCTGAACAGCCCTGACCACTGTCTATATTCCAGTATCCTTTACGACATTTTTCACATCTACGACCTACCACATTTGCCTTGCAGCGACACTGACCACCAGTTGACTCACATGGATTAGAACCTCTCTCTGGTTCCAGGGTTCCAGGTAAATAACATGTACAACCTATAAAACAAAACATAGTTAAAAACATATACTTCAACATAAATTAAGCATACTTTGAATAAAAGAAATTTTCAATACAGGGAGGTAATTAATTGTAACCATTTATGCTTCTGAAAGTACGGAGTAATAATTCTTTTTATGAAACCTGTAAAAGTTTAAACAAATAGCATTGAAATGCTTTAAGAAAGCATGTGTGCATTACTTATACAAGGTCGAATTTAATATTAGAGATAAAAATTACAATCCTATTTCTAAAAATTAAAATTCAAAATGAAGAAGAAGGTTTCTCACAGTATAATATGCATATAATAACAATAAAAATTGATGTTTACAATGCTGTAAATCTTAAGTTTGGCAACCATGCTCATTTGCAGAAAACTAAATGGATGAAAGGCACAAGCAAGATAAGTTCGGTTTCAATGTTGCAATATTATAATTTAACTAATTTCATAGCTAATATTATGCACATAAAATACTATTTCGCATAAATTTTTCGCACATAAAATAATTATAAGTTAATCCTTAACTGGTTCCTATAAATAGAACTAATATAAGAATAAATACTATGTGCTATTTTACTATACTAGTACATATAAAAAATAGATAAGATTTCTTTGTTTAATTATGGCATGGCTCTCTACCTAACAGAAGGGATGCCCTTGTAGAGGATTTTTTGAGCAACACTGGTTCGTATTCACATTACACATGAGAAAAATCTATGAAAATATCCATGCAGCAGGCCCATTTGTCAGAATCTAAACACATGCTGAATTACTAGCGTTCAGCAATCTTATCCATTCGGCCATCGGTGAGTTCCACAATAGAGAGAAAACTTCAGATTTTTAAAATTTATTTTGATCAAAAAACATAGATACACATGTAAAATTATATCTTGTTTCACATATTATATCAAACAGTAAAGTTAAACTGAATTGCAGATTTAATTTGCTGTAAAATATTTCAATATATTTTCCAAATTTAAATGGTTTTTTTGGTTTTATTAGATTATGGCAAAGCAATTGAGGGCTATCTGCCTTAAGGGAGGGATGCCTTCGTGGAGGACTTTCTAAGGAAAACTGGCTCATATACACGTTACACATGGGAAAAACAACGAAAACGCACATGCAGCCAGCCCGTTCGCAGAATTTGAACCTCGGACCGAACTACCAGTGTTCAGTGACGTTGCCGCTGGTGGGCCTCCAAATTTAAATGAATGCGATATTATGTGAATTTAAATGAACTCTTGATATCACAATATTTGAGGGGGAAGAAAATAATATAAATATAAATAACATATTTATTAAGTTTAAATATAAGCTATTAAATTATATATGTGTGTGTAAAATAAAAAGGATGTAAAGCAAAATTCTTAACACTTCTCTTAATTTTCTATTTTAATTTGGGTGTTTCTCCTTTATGCCCTGAAAATAGTAACTGCTTATAATAAACTTCTCTAAACTGCATCATTTCAAAATTAATCACATTCATATGAATCCTTTATAATGCTAATGGTGCAAGTACATCACTTCAGCAAATAAGATTTCAACTTTTATAAAACTAAAAATATGAAATAGTGGTTTATGAAACCATGAATCATTTATGACCTTAAGAGAATGAAAATTTACAAAATAAATAAATAAATAAGTAAAAATAAAAAATAAAAAAGCTCAATATTTTTTAGTTTGCTTTATTAAACATTTCTTTTAATGTAAGTTGCTTTGATTTCTGTGCTAATACTTTTAATTCTATGGATAGACATAGTTTCTCGTTCAAGTCTTGTATTTGCTATGTCGAGAATTCCCACTAAACTGTCAGATGAAATTTGTTTATTCTTAACAATCTCTCTGCTACTTTTTTCACTGTCAGTAGTGATATTTTCTGGATTTAGAACCAAACTACAGATTTTGCCATTTGTTACCTTATTGATGATTGGGGTATTCTCATCGTAATGAAAAACTTCTGTTATATTATCTTTATTCATTACCATTTCTATACATTTTTTTTCAGAAATTCCATTAACTGGAAAATTCTGCCTTTTGTTTCCAATATCTGAAAGCTTTCAAATTCATGGCTATCATCATAAAGCTTAGCTAACGTCTGTTATACGCTGTTGGCGATGTAGAATGAGTTTGGCAACTAACGACATGTTGTTTGCTAAATTTTCTGCTGCTTCGATCAAGCACTGAGGAAATTAGGCCAGAATTATATTACTTTTGTTATTTATTTTACTTCTATTTTTCGCACATGCTTAAGGCTGAGTCCTGAATAAATAAATTCCCACATATACTTTAGGCATCTGAACAACAATTAGTTATAATTAATTCAAACAGAACAAAATGTTATCTTTTGGCCTATTAGCTGAAGGCCAGTTAGCTAAAGTCTGTAATATCATCAAGCATAATGCCATTGTAAAAGATTACCATGTCTTTTGTATTCAGTTACGAATATTTTTAAAGAGTTGCTTAGATATTGCTGCATTAGTCATTTCTCAAGCTGCCATGTATTGATAGTCATGCAGCGATGAGAGCAAAAAATAAATAAATAAATAAATAATGGTTCACCAGGTTGGAGTCAGGGATACAAGTTATTCAATAGGTGTAAAATCAGTGATGTTTTGATGCAGTTTTGGTTTGAGATGCATGCATGCAAAAACGAGGAGCTAAATTGTTGATCATATAGATTTATTCTAATAAATGGTTCTTTCTTCATTATGCAGCTAATTTATTTAGTACCGATGGGAAATTAAGAATCAGGACTCTCCCCATATTTTATTATGTAAAAATATCAAATATGCATGTGTAAAGCAGGCCCAAAAAAGTCTTAAAAAATGTTTGTTGTGGTCCAGAAGTACAGATATTAGATCATTCAGGATATTGGATGGCCAGATTTGAATTTGCACTGTATACATTAATATATATATTTTTGCAGCTTATTATTATTACACATACACTAGTAAATTACATACACATGTTTCATCTTTTGTAATTATTTTGAGCTACACACTCTTATTTGGCTCTTATCATTAGAAAACCAGTTACTTCATACTCCAGTTGATAATAAAAGGATAATAAAATAAAAATGCATTCTTAGCTATTAAACTTAGATCCAGAATAATTAGCAAGTATTGGGTTGGCACATAAGCTCTGGCATTTTTTTTTTTTTTTTTTAGATTTCTATAAAAATAAATAAGAAATGAACAACAAATCAATCAATAGCATATTCTCTATTGGCCTTTCCAACTTCACAGCATTCAACAAGCTGTTCAAAAAATCAATGGTAGAAATCACTGTCTTTGAATAGCATAAACTATTCTTTGCCATACACTTCCCGAATTTCTCAAAGAACTTCTGCAGCTTTGGCATTTCGATTAAACACAAAAGGCAGAAGGTGTCAAAATTTTTTTTTCCAACTTGACACTTCATTTTAATGATACGAAAAGAAAAGTGTATCAGTATATAAAATTAAACACACTATTTTGTAGAGCACATCAAATAACATAAAAGACATTGAAAAAACATTTTAATTTTCATACAAAATTTTCATTTGTAAAAAACTCCAAGACTTATGGGCTAATCCAAACAAAACTGTGAATTATTTTTCTTTTTTGATAATATTTGATATTTTACCAGGCTTGATATATGAAATATTTGATATTTTACCATGACTGGACTCAATATATAAAGATCATATATAGTTTTGCAATATTAGCTTAATGATGCATATAGCAATTTGTATTTTGACTTGAATTTTTTTTTAAATATGATGATTTTAAAATATCCTGTTAATAATTAAGCAATTTTAGCGAAAGTAAATTAAGAAGAGGTTTTTTCTAATTATAAACAAATGAATCAGGGCGAAAATGAATTCAATGCTAGCAGGTCAAAGATCAAAACGAATAATGAAAGGTTGAAATAACAGTACAATTGTGTATTATAAATCTGTGAATAATATTTAATATATCTATGTTAGAAACAAAACAAAGTAAAATTTATATTTTTTTCTAAAAATTGTACAACTAATTGAAGAAAATAATTAAAAAAGGGCAGATTAATAACTTAAGCTAAATTTAGAACATACATACGTTTACATCCTCCTTTAGGCACAGCCAAAGCATCTCCATAGTATCCTGATAGACATCTCTCACAATTAAATCCAGCAGTATTATAAATACATTTTAAACACTGACCAGTAGTTCTATGTGAAAGGGGAAAAAACAATGCATAAACAAATTTATGAAAAATAATTGATGCAGTTTTAAAAAATAACATAATTCACAAGTTTTACTTACGTATTACAATTACCAACTGCATTAGGATCAATATTACCAGAACATTCACATTTCCTGCATGGCCTGGGAGACCCAAATCTACCAAGAGGATCCCCAAAGTATCCATCAATACACATGTCACACTGATGACCTTAATAACATAGAAAACTATTACAGACAGTTAATAGGGCTACAGTTAACTACACACTTCTTAATTTGTAGGCTTTTATAGAATGACAAAGTAAAAATCACCATTTCAAATAGTGTTATGGATAAAATTAGCAAATATTCTTAAGGTAACATATTAAATAAATATTCCTTGCATCTAAAGAGTTCAAATTTAAATAAAGTATTAAAATCATAATAATATAAATACTCTGTTTAATCTAAACAAATAGTACAAGACTTTTATAAATTCTCAAATAATTCTAAACCAACTCTGATACCTAATATGACATCATGGAAATCAACACTAGCCTAGCTCAGCCTCATTCGTGGAAAAGGCAGGCTGATAGTCAGATGGGTATGAAGGAAAAAGCAAAGGATATTTCAATTACTAGAAGATTCAGTATGACAAGGAGATCTACTGCAATACTGAAGAAAGCATTAAAAGCTTTTTGTTGCATCTTTTTCCTTCACAAAAAATTTCATAGTAAGGATTTACTGTTTCATTTTAAATTTTCCTATTAAAAACAATTTTTTTTCAATTAGAATATTAAAATGCACAGGGGTATATTAAAGTCATCAGTTTTTACAGCATTAACCCATTAGCCGCTGGTGTTGCATTGATGCAACGGTCAAAATAAATGCGTATATAAATATAACTACCTAAGATATTTTATACCAGCAGATGATTTTGTGTAGGGAATATTATGAAGATTATTTCTGTAAAAAAATATTTGCCTTCAACAATAATTTTGTTTATAATAATTAATCTCATACTTTAAGCAAAATTTAAGCAAAATTTTCGACCGGGTATTTTTGCTGAAAATATTTAACAAAAGAATCGTGTCTTTATGAGAGATCTATTTTTAGTCAAGGTCACCGTTTATCAGAACATTACATCAGTCAGATGTTTATATTTGTATTGCGAAGAAAGGGAAAACAGGTGTTGCGCTGACACAACGTCAGCAGAAAACGGGTAGTCAATCTCCTTTTCCACTAATTCCTTTCGATGTTCTGGTTTATGTTCTGGCTAAAAATGCCTAGAATGAGGTATCTTACATTAGAAGAAGCCCTTCAAAGATATTTTGATGAAGAAACAGATGATGATAATGTTAATAATGACCAGAATGAAACTGATATTGTTGTTGTTCCCCTAGAAATTGCAGAAACTAGTGACAAAGAAGGAAGGACTGGCAATGTTTTAAATAATGATAATGATATTTTACCAAATGATATTGCTGGGGAAGTTGAAATTCACGTAAGAAGTAAGTTTCAGCCTTCTAAAAGCAGTTATAGTCATACTAAAAAGTTTAAAATGCAGAAGACTGAAATCTTGAAGTGGATAAAAAAGAAACTGTTAGTTATGTCTCAGGAAGAACATGAAGAAAGCGATAGAAGAGAAATTATAAAAGACAAAATACAAGGTAAAATTAGTGTGCAGATTTTCGATTTTCTTTTTGGTTTAGACATTTACTCTCTTCTTGTTGAACAGACAAATATATACGCTCAGAAAAAAAAAAAAAAAAAAAAAAAAAAAAAAATATTGCATCTGAAGCCTATATGAGAAGATTTACTGGAATATTATTGCTTACAGGATAGCATTCTTTACCTCAAGAAAAAATGTATTGTTCTTTTCATAAGGACATTTCTGTTCCTGTTGTACGAGAATCGATATCACGTTTGCAGTACAGGAATATGAAGCAGAATTTGCATTTGACAATAGTCAAATTGACAATACTGATAAAGTATGTGAGGTGAGACCGTATATAAACTTACTAAATATCATCACTTTTTACTGGTGGAAATATACTCGTTTAGATTTCAGATGCGAGAATGCATTATTCCTTTTGCAAACTCCTATTGAGAGTGTAGAATTAGCCAGAAATAGATCAGCAACAGGAAGACCTAGTAAATTCAGCATTCAAAAACCATTGCATGGGGATGGTAGACATTTTATCGTAAAGTCCCTTAATAACAAAAAACTTTGTTGTAAAGAGTACCATAGCCAGACTGTTTATAGATGCAAAGTATGTAATGTAGCTTTACATCATGACTGTAATCAAGCTTTACATGCTTGAATCTTTCAATTGAAATAATCTGTATTTGTAAAAGAAATACAGTGTATATTTTAGTATTAAATTAATTGCAATTAAAGTGATTTGTAGATTTATAAAACGTTATACAGCTAAAAAGTAATCCTGCGCTCCACTCAAAGAAAACATCGCACACGAGTACAATCCTACTCACTAAATATCCGTAGTCTTATTCCGCTGACGCTGCGCGAACGCAACACTCGTTTTTTCCACAGGTAAGAGCATTTTTTTTATTTTAAATGTAAATTTATGTTATAAATGCTTAATTTAATATTTGTTATTATTTTCATGAGAAAAGAATCATTCCTTGTAGTTTTGGCGGTTAATGGGTTAATGACTCCTTCTGTTTCAACCTCCTACATCTTTCTCTGTCTTCAGATGCATGAAAAAGTTGTGCTTACTCCAATTCTTCTGTTGATTGGTTGCTTTATTTAATAACAGTAAAGCTTTCACCTATCTGCCAAAAGAAAGAGATACCTTCAAGGACTTTCTAAGAGAAACTGGCTTGTATACTCTTTACAGATGGGGAAAAACACGAAAAAACCCATGCAGCCATCCCGTTCACCGGGATTTGAAGCCCAACTTGAACTACCAGTGTTCAATGACTTTACTACTCAACTGATAGTGGGCCTAAGTTGAAGATCTTTTTGCTTCTTCATTCCCGCATATTACATGATCCAGGATGTCAACATTGATTACTATTTCAAGTTTACTATGACTATTTTACTGCCATTTCCCCATTACATAGGAAGAAGCTTCACAGTCTTGACTCAAGCAAAACATTCTTCCAAACCTCGCTTAACCAGTTTCCTAAGACTTTTCTCATACAGCATCAAGAAACTAGACAAACTATCTGTAATAACATTGGGCACTGCAGAAATTATATTATATTGAGACACACAAAGAACAATAAGTTTTTTCAGCACTTTCTCAAGGTGCGAAGGATGAGCAAAAACATTATCTAACACAAGAATAGCATTAGGTGGCAAATTACTTTCTCCAAGCAACAAATAGAATAAAGCAATGCAGCTTGAATAAGTCAGATATAAATGCAGTTATTAAAGTTTTCCTTGCAGTCATCATTGTTTTCAGCTTGCAAATTTTGTGTCCAGTCAAAATAGAATGTATTACCATTTGAGGGAAATTCTTTGCTTCAAGCTTCATGAGCAAGTGATCCGCTGAAATGAACGTACAACCACATCTTGAATAATGAAATCTTTTCTCCATTAAAAACATGCACAGGTATCCAGGTAGGGTTAATTTATGATAAAAAGACTCATTCCAATAAAAAGATTTCACAAAAAGGTCATTACATTAAAAAGTAAAATTATCATTTGAATTATTAAACATGATATTCATTGCTTTGGGTATATTGTTTTCAGGAAATCACAGCAAATTGTTTCTACCATTTGTATTTGCCATTTTGCTGATTTTAGAAGTAAGATTTAATGTTTTATGTGTTTAACTTTATTTATACAAAGGGAAATGTAAGGGTACTTATGCACTAACACAACTACCTTGGCAAAAGTTGCCAAATTTTCAGAATATGCCAAACTGCGACAACCATGCGCAAAGCCATTCTTCCAGCAACCATCCTCATAACAATCCTTTAGTCTAGCAATGTTGCCATTTTCACATGTGTTCTTTTTAAAAAATTTTTTATTCTAAGTTCCAATAGATTTTATTAACAAACCGTTATTTTTTTTGTCTTGAACTTCATTTTAAAATATGAGTTTGTGGCATTTGCCAGCTATGGAAGAAACTGCAGTAAAATTTCTGCAAGAATGCAGAATTTTGATGACAGTCTTCTAAAGAGTACAAAGAGGAAATGCACTTCCTCAATAGCTATAACAATAGCTTAAATCTCAAACTATAATTAAATATTGTCTTAAAATGTATTTTTAATTTAAAATAATAATTGGAATAATTTCTGCAAAATAAACACACCTGTATGACCCAAAGGGCATTGCTGACATGCAACTTGTCCACCAGGTAACACAACACATGGTCCTTTGTCAGGACATAAGCAAGGCTTACAATCACCGGATGTTCCCTCTCGAGCATCACCATAATAAGATTGTGCACATCTTTCACAGTGATTTCCCTCCGTATTATGTAAACATACACACTTTCCTAAGGGAAGAAATCGAAATTGTATAAACTATAAATAGAAAAAAAATGATATCTTCATTACGCTAATCCATTTTAATGACATTTTAAAATAATTATTCATTTATTCATATCTAATATAAAAACAATAATAATTTGCACAAAATGCTCAAATCAAGACAAAATCTTCAAAATATACAAATTTAAATATATTTCTTGTAGTATTCAGTCATAATTTTTTTTTTAAATAATGCCATTTTGATATTCCTGTAAAAAACCAAAACATTTATATCTGATCCAAATATGATGTTGCAACATGAAAATACAGAACATCCTGCCTATTTCATTTAATGCATGAGTCCAAATGCTGATTTGGCTAATAATAATGCTGGCTTTAAAAATCAAAACTTTAGAGAAATGTAAGTTGATGTGCTTGTCAAATATTTATATTAATCACTGATATCCGGATTACTTATAAAATGGATATAAATAAAAACATCATTACATGAATATTTATTGACTATTCTCAAGCTTACCTTCTCTTTGCTCAAAAGAAATAGAAGTAATGTCCGCTGTGTTGAAGTTTCAAAATGATATTACACATTAAAAAATTCTTAGCTTTTTTTGTGACAATATAAATAAATACATAAAATAAAAAATATAATTGAAAAATAAAAATAATTACATATAATTGCTAAAGTGATTCATTTTAAGTTCTCAAATAAACATGATGAATAAGGAAAAACCAAGTGTAGCATTATTTAAATTTAAATTAATAACATAAGAATACATCAATACAAGTGGACTGTAGTTTAAGTTTTATTCAGCAGTTTCAACTTTAGAACACAACACAGCAAACAGTAAAGCATGAAAGTAACAATTAGCGTTTGCAAGAATGCGAGAACAAAATGCGAGCTGCGCATACGATCTGTGCATTGCAAAATAATATCTCACAGACAGGCAGAGAGCTCTGGTGGCCGAAACACCAAGAAATGAATGAAAAATTGTAAACAATAACTTTTATAAATTTTTCTTTTATAAAGTAAATGTATGTGATGGAAAAGATTATTGCATATGTCACATCTAAAGATACAAGAATTGTTTAAAATCAGTTTAGTAAAATTTAATTACTTAAGATTCGTAATAGAATTTACCTGTTTTAGGATCACAAGTTTCAGCATGGTTATGACAAAAGCACTTTACACATCGAGAATATGGACTGTCACCCAATGGATCACGTCGATATCCTGGAGCACAAAATTCACAGGATAATCCGGTATAACCTTCAGGACAGGCACATTGTTCTACCCAAGTTGCTTGATAGTTTCCTGGCATGTTACGTGCAGATTCAAGGGTGACATCATCAAGATAACCAACACCTAAATGGCATAAGTAGAGAATATGTTTATTGGTTAAAAAAATGAAAAATGTATTTATTAGTTTCTTATTATTAAGGAAGTTTTGAAAATATTTTAACGAAGCATAAAATTTAATGGCATTCAAAAGTAAGAAAGTTATCCAGTATGTGAGCTATAGAAGACAAACAAAATGACTTTATTAACAAAACTTGTCATTTTAAATTTAATTAAAAAGATTTTAAGAATAACAAACTGGAGAAGATATGTCATTATTACACAAATACGCAAAATACAACAAATATTTTTTATCAAAGTAAAAAATAACAAAAATAATGCTTATTAAATTAAACAACTAAACAAATTGTGCTACATAAAAAACATCTAAAATAAAATATAAATACCATCTCTTGAAAATGTAGCCTTAATTTTCACAGCAGTCAGATTGGACAAAATTTTCATGAAGTCAAAAGCACTAACTCTTGGTGTCCAACCAAAATCTGGATGTTCATGGAGACGGAATTTGTAATTTTGAATTCTATGTGAAGGAATGGGATTCCCCTGCTCTGTTATAGGCACACTAACTCGAATACCAGCACCCTCAAGGATTACATCATGTGCACTAATTCGAACATTCTCAGCACCAATTCTTAAAGTGAAAGTGAGATAGTGATTATATGAAGCTCGTTGATTTCCTAAATAGCATTCTGTAAATATATATATATATTTTTTGTGTGTTAGAGAAGTTATCCTTCATCAGCAATATAAATCTAAATTATTAATAACAAAAACAGCAACAATAACAATAGCAAAGTATAACACATCCAGGTGAAAAAAGCTCTTTCTTTTATATTTTTTTTATATTAAGGAAATTACCCTACATCAGTATCATAAATCTAAATTATTAATAATAACAGCAACAACAATAATAATAGTATAATACATCCAGGTGAAAAAAGCTTTTTTTCTTTCTTTCTTTTTCTTTTAAAATTTCATAGAAGTAACACTTGCATGATCTGCATACAAAAAATTTAATAATAACAATTAATACAATACAAAGTCTTTAATCTGGATGTCCATAATCCAGAATGATCTATAATCCGGACCTCAAAGCTACAAACTTTATGCGCATGTGTAATGGGTTACGAATTGCGGTTATGCGGGTCGCTAGCATGGTGTTGTAAGTGAAGAGATATCTTATAGAGAAAGAGAGATGTTATAGAAGAGAGAATAAAGAGCAAGAAATTATAGCACAAAAAACGAAGAAACTAAACAATACAGTGAAAGAAAGGTAATAAAGCAAAGAAATAAATATTAAGCTTTTTTTTTTTACAATTTTGAGACCTTTTGATCATTAAGTCTTTATTCATAAGTTAGGTTCATATTTTAATTGTATAATTTCTGCATGCCATCTTACAGATTTAATGATGATGATAATCTGGAAAAACAAAAAAAAAACCCTAATCCGGAATCACCAAAGTCCCGACGAGTCCGGATTATGGACTTTGTACTGTATTTACTTAGTAGTAGTACCTGAATGAAGTACAAAGGTGCTCATATAAGGGCAGCTGCCAATTTATCCCTTTCTAACAATCAGAATAATTTTATTATGGATAATATCTTTGACTTGGAAGAATTGAATTGTGGGCTTACATTACTTTACAATTACCAAATCATATAATTCATATTGATTTTTTCATGAAAAATAATCAGTGCTCTAGCAAAGGTAACTAAAAAGTTAGGAGGAAAAATTACTGGACTAATCTTTATTCTTCTCACCTAGTGCACAATGTGAGCTAGCTGGGTGTGAAGCTACCACATTTGGCATTTTGATGCACAACTGTGATTGGCGTTCTGTTCACAGAAAAGAACCCTACATTCTACAAGTTGTTCAGATATATGCAAAACTAATAAACAAAATGAAAAAATAAAGTATTATACTTAATACATTCTTGCTACATATTTTTAGTAGAAAACAATTCTAAAATAAAAGATTTAATTTATCTGAATGGTATCATGTAAAGGTCAAACAACTTAGATATGTAAGAGTTCAGATGGTATAGATCAGGAGTGGCCAACAAGTCGATCGCGAACGACCAGTCGATTAGGAAACCCATTTTTGTCGATCACATGCAATGTTAAAAATAGAAACTGATTACACGCCATGATAAATAGAGAACCAAGTTTTCAATTACGATTACAGTGGCATTAGGGCATTTTGTTTACAATGCACTAGAGTAGATATATAAATGAGTCTACAACTACAATGATACGAAAGATCCCATGCTTCCATTAGGTACTGAATTTCGGCAATAAAGATACTTTGTTCTTTAATATAGGCCAGCATAAGTGTGAATTTTATCACGCTATTTCTGACACCTCAAGTAATCCTTGGGTGGGGAAACCATGTGTACATAACCTCATAGGAAAATCCCAAATTGAAGAGCAAAATGAGGCTTCAGTTTCTTGGGTTGGCGAAAAACTGGCAGCCAAGGTATTTGACTTTTCGAAGTACGGTAGACGAAAAAAAATAAATATCTGAGCATCACCAAATGTAGTAAATATATCTATTCTTGTTTCGGATCCACTTAATTCTGTGAATCGGCATTTTACAACTTGAAGTTAACAAAGACTAAACAATGTTCTGTGTTGACTGATGCACATACTGAAGACTTTTTAATATTATCTTTGTCAGGATATACTCCTAATTATAATTCCTTGATTAAAGACATGCAGCTTCAATATTGTCATTAAGTAAAAGAAATAAAATATATTCTTTTTCTATCTTTAATTTTTTGCTAACATTGTCAATCGATAATTTTTGTTGCTTAAATTTATGCGAATGTTAAATTTTAGTCCATAAACTGTTTATTTTGTAATTTAAAATAAACATATAATAGTAATTTAACATATTAAGTACTTCATATCCCTCTTGCCCCCTTTAAAGGTGAATGATGTAAACAAAAGTTGGCCACCTCTGGTATAGATAATTTAGAATTACAATCTAAAAATTAATTCGTAAATAATTTTTGTCAAAAGTATAAACTATCCTTGAAGTAATGCATTTATGGTGAGAAAAACCTTTCTAATTCAGAAAATAGTTTTCTGTGTAAGCATAATCAAACAAAGGAATTCAGATACAGGAATTTTAATTCCATTTAACATAAAAATCATTGCTGATTTCATTTACCATAGAAATGCAAATGAAATGTATTTTAACTAAGAATTTTTAGCTTTTGTGTAATTTACCACCAGATTCCTGCACAATTCCTTGTAAGTAAAATACATTTAAAGAAATAAGCAGTCCAAAAGTCATGATATAAAATACATTCCAAATGACCTGAAAACTAAATTTTTACTGATGATAGGAATATATAGATTACATAGATATGAGCCTCACCAGACCTGTAAGGTTATTTCCCTGGAAATTATCTTCATAATGTTCTGTAGAATTAAAATATTTTTTAAAATAAGACATTGAGGAATACAACCTGGAGCTAGGAAATATATGAATTCTCCTCCACGACCTCGAACTTCAATTATTTGAAGGTCTGCATCATAAAGTACAGGCACCGGACGTCCTCTCAAGTCAACAGCTGTCCAACTTTCAGCATCTAAAATGTTATAAAAATATTTACAGCTGTTCATAAAACATAAATAAATCTTTTTTCATTATTTTATGAGCATAAGTAATATTAAAAACTCCATTCAGTGCAATGTTATAACACTTAAAAACCGCAACTAAAGTGAGAGAACTAAGATATCAAGCCTGAAATTAAACTACAGTTAAACCAGATCCTATTTTATAAACATTAATTATAATTAGGCACAAAAGTACTTTTTTTTTTCCTTTGAACAATCACGGCTAAATTCACATCATTCCAATGAA